TTTTTTGAGAATATAGGCTAAATCCCTAACACAGTAAATGCTCATAGTGAAGAAAGGTACTTCAAATGCAGGGTAAAGTTGAATGACATACACCTGCCTTGCAGATACCCTAGGCATTACATAGAGCAGCACAGCAAAGGCTCTATTTGCTCACAAAGGAGGCTGAAAGAACAAATAATGAGTATTAAGCTGCTGGCATTGCTTCTCAAGCAAGAGGGTTCATCTGAGCTCAGTAGTCATGTAAGACTAAGGCAGTTTGGAGTCTCATAACAAAGCAGCTGCCTAGACCCCCCTGCTGCAGCAGACCTATGCACTGGCACCTCCCACAGGGACAATCTGTCCCCCAAAAGCTTTGAATTCATGTCCAACTTTACTTGCCCAGAAGTTAGATGCACTGAATTACCCACTCATTTTCTTTCTGACCACTCACACAGAAAATGAGTGTCGAGATGAGTGTGTGACAATGGGATGCCCTCCACTGCTGCCCTGGACAGCCAGAGAAGCTCTGCACTCCCATGAGGCTGCTGAGCAAGGTGGAGAACAGGCTGTGGAGCTGCATTATGAATTGCTTGGACTTCAATTCCCAACTCAAACTCTCAATTTTGATAATGATAGTTAAAAACTATGGCTTAAAGTAACTCAATGCCTGTGAAAATTAGGCCACCATCCAATTTCCACCTTGAGTCATAAATTTAAATGAAAAGCAATCTGACATTTTTTCCAAACCAGTGTGTTTTTAACCAAGTCAACACAATACTGTGCTGTAACATGAGTAAGTGCAAGTCATATGCAGGCTATCAACTTCAGGCACCTATTGAGATTTTTCCACATTGTATTGGTTTTGCATGGCCTGGTTCTTGGTAGTGGGGGGGGTTGGGGCACAGAGGTGGTTTCTGTGAGAAGGTGGGCTGTCAGCCTCAGCAAAATTATTTATATCATTCACATGAAGAACCCTAACTACCTCTTCCTCTGTCAGAGTAAGATCTAAGAGCTTCTGAAGGCTTCCAAAACTGAGTCAAAAGGTCTATGTTGGGATCACCGTACCAGTCACTATGTCAGATGCACTTCCATAGGATTATTCATTGTGTTGGCACATACATTTATTAATGCTGGATTGTTGTTGCTAGCATATTGCTGTTCCCAGAAAACAAAAAGTAAAAAATCTTTTTTTATTCTGTTTGACAGGCAGATAATTACTTGAATGTTACTGATACTGAAAGCAAGGAGCTATGAGAGTGATCAGAGCAATGTCAGTTTTCTCAATGCCAAAGCATGTTATTAAACAACAGAAAACACTTCTAAGAAAGGACACATACTATTTACAGAAATAATAAATCAAGCCTTATTAATAACTTTTGCACAGAGTCATATGAAATGCAGCTACAAACTTGTAAATTTTTTTGTTGGTGACATAAAATGCTTTAGAACTGCCTAAGTTTTTTGCCCATTCATTTGTGGTGATAATAAATGACTTCAGTTTGCATGAAAAATGCATAAATACTGTGAAAAAAAGGGAAATATCAAGACAATTTTACTGCCTTGTGCATGCCTCTTCTATTTCTTGGTAATTGCTGCTTTGCTGTGTGATTAAATCAAAGACTGTTTGGGAAGAAAGAGGAAGAAATTAAAAAGCAGCAAAGACCAGACAGTAGCCCAAAGTAAATAATGTCAAAGATTATAAGACAATGACAGATGCTTCATCAGTTGTGAAATAAACACGTTCTTTGTTTAAGATCAAAACCCATACTGAATTCTAAATATGCTGGTACTAGAAAAAAGTCTGGATTGTCAAGTGGACTAAGAGCCCTGCTTAAAGAGACATGCAGGGGTTTGTCTAAATGTGTATTAAAAGACATTTGGGCCATTGTTTAGGCCATATTCCTGAGCTGCCCATGGAACAGACTTGAAAGCTGGTTAGCTTGTGGTGGAGGTAGCTGGAGAGAAAGAGAGATGGGGGCTAACCCTAGGAAAGACTGGCAGCAAAGCCAGGGTCATGCAGAGCAGCTGCTGCCCACAGTTCTTTGTGGAACCCACTTGGAATATGCACAGCCACCCCAAAGGAGAGCAGAGGACACAGACAAAGGGTACGGGGAAGGACGTGGATGTGAGCAGGGCTAGGCATGAGCTGGCACTGGGATGTCTAGCTGCCCCAGTAATGCCTAGGAAGGGCTCTCTCTGGGAACAGACAGCAGCTTGGAGAGCATAGCTTAGCCCCATCTGGGAGCTGGCAGAGGTTTGAACAGCTGGAGCTGCTAAAGCAGCCAAACTGACCCCAACTCAGCCCTGACCTCAACGATGAACTCGAGAGGGACAGAAAGCATACAAGTACATCTCACCTCGTAACTATGTGGTACACAACATGAGCTTCCACTGGAAAAATTGGTAAGAATGTGAACTTTGATTTCAGTGGTGTTTTAAGCTGGAATTTTTTTCTCTGAATTGCTACTATGCATTTCCCAAACTTTTTCCCAGGTCTGCTTAGTTTCCTAAAGAAACATTTGTTTCCCATAGGAATCAAACAAGGCTATAGCTTTTCACAAGCTTTATTGGCCTGTGATATTGAGTATCTGCCATAATGAAGAAAATTCATCTCAGTGGAATATTAGAAAGAAGAAGGTGATTTATTAGGAGCAGCATCTCTTATTAAAGCTGGCTTAAATTTATAAGAATTTTCCAGCATCTGTCTAAAAAATTTTCAGAGTTTTTTATCCACAAGGAAACAACATGAAACACCGTAATTGCACCACACAGTTCTCAAAACAGTTTTGCAAAGATATACTTTAGTAAGGAAGCCCTTTTATTAATGACACTATACTTGGCAGAGGACCCAGGAACTGTATCCGTGAGACAACCATACAGAAACATGTTTATTTTAAACTTTCAGGTTGGAGTCTCCTGTTTCACTGGGTTTAGACAGCTATAGCGCTTGTGATCTGAGCAGTATTTTTCCTAATTTATACTGGCATAACTGAATAGATTTAAACATTAGAGAGTCACTGGAAATACCAATAGCATAAAAAGCTCTGGTTTTAATATGGCACTTAAAAATGAGCTGGGAGATTTCCACACTGGAAGAGGTAACTGGAGAGGCTGATCAGATGTGACACCTGGAAAGTTAGTGTTGTGGAATACTTAGCATGTCCTGAGATGGTGGTTTGGTAGTGTATATACCTATCAAATTAATTATAAAGTTTATTTTAGCTAGTCACATTTCTGGGCAGGGATCCAAATGTTATTGAGGCAGAATGGGTGGAGAGATGTATATTTTATCAATAAGATAAGCCAAGTCAGGAGTGAAGCTCACAAAAGAGTGCAAGAAAAACCCACTCCTGGCATCATTGCAGTCATGACTTACAGTAATAGCACTTCAAAGTTTTGTATGAAAATTTCACTTTTACAGTTTAAAACTTAATTTTTAATGGTTGCATTTGACTGTTTCATGTGGACTTAAACATTGGCTATAAGCCATCTTTCTTTAGTAAGTTGATCTGTCAAAGATGAATTCACCTGTTATTAAAAGCTACAGATGTTTCTCATAAATGTACCAGTTCAGCAAGAGTGATGAAAAAAATATATATGATCCCAAGGGTAATGAACTAGCCAGATTCATTTAAAAAAAAAACCTCAACCAAAAAATGTGCATGGCTGAACATTAAATCTGAGAAGAAAACAATGCAGTAATACCAGTTCTGAAGATGCTGTACAAAACTGTTTATGCCAAGATGGCATCCCTATTAGATTTAGAAGGTACCATGACATTTTCAGGCACTTTTGACTGACAAATAATATTTTCCATCTTTAATCTGCAGTCTTCCTGAAGAAGGAATTTGAAAGAATGTCCTGTAATCATTTGTGTCTGACTGTGCTTCAAAACTGCTTATAATTTAAACCCCTGAAATTATTTACTTGAATTGTTTCTGAATAACTAAACCTGTTGTTTTAAATAACAGCATGAATGTAGGCAGCAACCTAGGACTGGGAAGAAATCTCCTCTGTTATTGAGGGTTACTGAATCCCATCTTTTTTTCTGTGTTTCTTGTCACTCCTTTTACACTCTGTTCCTCATGAAGCAGAGACACTTACATGATGAAGTACACTGACCTTCAGTGAAATTCTTCTGAGCACTTGGACTTTATGCAGTTGAAGAAAGATGATTTGGGAGGAAAAGCACCTACCCCAACGAATTTTCCTGTAGTTCACGTGCCTTTGAAATATAGATGATGTATGGGCATCCATGACCCTGCCCTTCTTGCTCCATTTGCATTCCAACACATTTTAAGCTTGTAAACCACTTAGTCATGCATTGGTACCTGTTTTATGTATTGAGGACAATGGACACTTCTGAGATTTCTAGCTAATTCCCAGATGGCAACTCTGCAAGATGGTGTTTAGGAAATGTAAAGGATCCCCTTTTTTTTACAGTAACTTGGCTTAAGTCCCTATGAAAAAGGAAGCCTGGAATACTTACATGGCTCTGAGGTTTAAGGTGACAATTATTCATTCCTGGTAAAAAAGTATTTTCTTTATTTTCACCTGTAGTAATGTGTTGGGTCATTCCACAGCCTGCTTATTAAATGAAATGGATCTTCTCCTTTGTTTTCAATGCCAGGTTGATCCATAGTGGTAAAACTGTAATAATATAACTTCAGCATCTTCTGATTCTGCCATTACATCTGTTAGTTCACTACTTTCCCATAAAATAGAGAATGTGATGAAAAACCATGGGATATCAGGAATAACATGCTGGTTCTCAGCTATTAATTAGTTTGAAAAATATTAGGGCATTCTTCCTTTCTAATTTTTGCTAATTACTCTGGGACTACATAGGCATTTTATGACACAAGCATAGACACACACAAGCGCATCATATAGTTCATAAACTGATGGAGGTCTGTCATACGTAGTCCTTCTTTTTCCAGAAGCACTGTGCAGGCTGTTAGAAAACACTAAGGAAGAGATTTTTAAATTTCTCTTATTTAATCTGCTCTTGTCTTTTGCAGCTGACACCAGTCTTGGAACAGATGATGTTTATGATGACAAAGGGTGCCAGTGTGATGTGTCTGTAGAAGATCTCACCCCTGCTCTTAAAACTGTCATTAGAGCTATCAGGTGAGTAGACAATACTGAATGAATAAACACTTGAATTTACCTTATTTAGGATACTAATAAACTGCATGTCAATTCATAAAATGATAGTTAGTTGAACTAATTACATGGCTATATTTATTACATAATTAATGCTAATATATTATGCTTCCTTTCCATTTCAGTTAAATTAAAACATTTTATCAGTTCTGTTATCAGCTTTTCACTATCTAAAAATGTTACTTTATTTGACACAGAAAAGAGAGTAATGGATGCTGGTTTCCATTATATTTTATGCTATCCAAACTACAATTTGATGTACTTTTACTGAGTATGTGTCACCTTGCCTGGAAAAGTAATTTCCTTTAAAAGTGTAGGGTTTTATTGCATTTCTATATTCCTGAGACTATCATACGACGTTTATTGCAAATTTCTTCTGCTAAGAAGAGAATAATTACATTAATTCAATTGTGAAAAGTCTTGCCTACTACTATCCACTAAACTAAATATAACCCAAATAATTTAAAACAAATAGTCTCCTTTTCCAAGAAAATAGTAAACTGCATTGAAACTTATAAAGTTATCTGCATTGAAAGTTAAAACTCACCCTCTTGAGACTGCCAAGGCTATTTATCTTCCAGAGTATTTTGAAGTATAAGTCCTGACAGTCAAAATCCCCACTATGAGGTGTACAGCAACAAGCAAAGAGAGCTCAAGCATTCCCTGTCTGCTGGCAGAAAACCTGAGGTTATTGCTGGGGGTCACCCCACTGCCTCTGCATCACATCAGTGTCCAGCACCTTCTTGGATGCAGGAAGGTAGCCAGACAGACAGGCAGCAGCCAAAAGGAATTTCTGCAAAAATCAATGGAAAGACAATGTTTTCCTGTACAGAAACCCCTGCCTGAGTTTTCTCAGCACCATAGGAAGAAAAAACTTGAGCTTTTTATCACATAATTTCATGCAGTGATAACCTATGGGCTACTAGTATTTCCTTCCCCTTTTCCATTGAGTAAAATGAAGAGAGATAGTGAATAAGGCTGTTTCTGAAACTTTTCTACTGGCACAGACAGCTTGATAGATCATTTGCAGACATCTTTTCCTATCATTTTTCCAACCTGCCTGGAAATGACCTCACAGGACAATTCAGATACCAGGCCTGTGTCCACAGCCACTGCAACTGGCAAGCCAAATGTCACTGCTGAAAACCATCTCTTGCTAGCAATGTTTCAGAAGGTGACAGAAGTCCTTTTTTCACAGTGGACAGCCACCCACAAGGCAAGCCTATTCCCTCAAATGGAAAATGCTCACATTAGGAACAGTCAGCATGTCAAAGGTTCTCTGTGATGCTGCATTTTAAACAGACTGGATAACTCTTGGCTCCAGGTGCACCTTGCCACTTGTCCTGGCAAAGGATAATCATTCTTCATACTCTCCAAATTCCTTAAGACTGACTTCACATTTTAATACTTATTTCAGGGAGCTCATTTTCTAGGGGGCGCTGGATTGTTCAATGCACCATCTGCATTTTTGCTTGGTGCTCTTGGTCATTATCGGCTCAAATGGAAAGTAACCAAATGTGAAGGATACAGTTGGGAAAATTTCTCCACAGTACCATCCACAGAAATGTTCTAATAAGAGGAGCAAAGGTGCAAGATTTGATTATTTCAGACATGTACTATTTAACTGATGAGGATCAAATTTTTATATTATCTCCAACTTTTACTCTGCATGCCTGGCCTTCTAGAAAAACAACTCATGTCACCACTGAGGCTGAATGTAAGAATCTCCACTTGCCATCAATTACCCATTAATCTCTCCCATCTCCCTGCAAATTTTAGTGTTTTGCAAGATGACAAGTGACACATGCATCTTGCTTCAGAAACTTACCTTTGTTTGACATCTGTAAGGCAGTCATATGCCATGATCTTGAGACTTCTGTATATGCTATACTTTAATCTCTCAAAATCAAGAGACTGATAATTCAGTTCATCAGGTAGCTGATACACCTCTTTCTGATTATTCAGAGTATCTGTTACCAGACTACACTGGGATCTATGCAAACATCTGAAGAAGGATCTGAGACTCTATATAGTAACTGTAGAATTTCAAGATGATAACATCTGCCTATATGGAAACTTTGTGCCTCATTTTGAAGTTTGTTTTTAGAAACAGCTTTGAATTGCAAAGGCAGTGGGGGAGGGTGAAGGCTGGTTTTCCTGTCATGCTGGTATACAGAGGCAGGCAAAGACAGAAGGCACTTGCATAGTTTTATGATGCACTAGGAAAAGACCCCAAATATAAACACAGACAGCTGAATCCATTTTTGATGCATCAACTTGAAAAATTGCTATAAGGGAGTCCAATTATTTTTTCCTGCTTACACCTGGGTATAAATTGTTTTACAAAGACACAAATGGCACTTTTATTTTCAGAGGAAAAGAAATCAACAAAATTAATTCATGCCTGTGGGTTTACAGGTAGGTCCTCTCTCAGTTTTGGAATCAAAACATTTGGGATGAGATTTTTTTTCTGTGCAAGGTGCTTAAAATATGCTGCTTACTCTCAGGTTGTACAGCCTTGAAATAGCAAAAGACAAAAACTAGTTTATTTATTGTTTTTCATTTTGGTAATTTCAAAGTCTACTGTGTCAGTTTTGATCTTGTTTACTTATATATTTTCCAGGGCTACTTTATTTTTCAAAGCAGCTTTTTAAGTAAACAAACCCCCTAACTTTCATTTTGTTATAGGCAAAACAAAGGATGGAGAAAACAGTCCTTTCCTGAAAAAGTTCTCAACATTTTGGTCCTTTCCAAAAAAGACAGGACTCTCAACTAGTCCTGCTGAAGACCCACCAGGCAAACCTGTCTGGTAGCATGTCAAGCTCCCAGTCTGCTCTCAAAGCCTCCTAAACTGAGTCTTTTATCTCATGTGCTGCCCTCTCCATCTCCTCTTACTCCACAAGCTCTCTGCCAGGAAAGATCGACTGAGGGATAGGGAAAGTAAGGAAAAGCTGCTTGATGGACAGTGTTGGGTGAGCAGGGAACAGATGGGCAGTGTGGTGAAACATGGTGTGCACTGCAGCATGCCTTGGGCCCAGTCAGGATCAGTCCTGCTCATCCATGGCTCCAGCTGGGATCAGAGCAGTGCACAAAGCAGTCCTTGCTAACAATGCACTGAGTCTGTGTGCCAGCAGGGTCTTCAGCACTACTCAACCATCCCCAGACTTGTTGTGAACAAAAAGCCATTAATATCCTGCAGAGTTCCTGCAGACTAACAAAAAACATTGCCTTTTCTAGCTCAGCTAATTCATAATGATGAATGTTTATAAAAGAGACTAAAAGGAAGATTAGGATACCTTGTTTCCCTATATTGTGATATCTCTGATCATTTTCCATAGCAAGAAGCACTCATTTCAATAATACTTCCCACATGGAAATGATGGAATTACTGTACTATTTATGGAATATAAAATGAAATTTGAGAAGCAATATATGCAATAGAAAATAACTGCAATGGCAGGAAGATGAAAGTACTGACCTAATAGGTCTTTTCTCTCTTTAACTCTAGTGATTGCAAAGATATGTTTTCATTTGGTGCTAAGGAAAAAAAAAAAACCTGTGGCTAAATGTAATGAAACTTGAGAATTCTAGAGCTGATAAGCTGTATAGTTGAACAGTCATACATATTTAACAGACAAAGATGGAAAATATGATTTACCATTTATGTTCAGTCTTTACAATGTTCCTGCAATACCTATAAAATGCATTTTTAGTAGCCATTTTGAATTTGTTCAAAGTAGTGTTTCAGAATCCCCTTTTTCTTTTAAATCCAAACACATTGTTTATTTTCTGCCAGATGGTATTCAGAGCCTAGGCAAGGCTCTTATACATGTGTTCGGCTAGGACAGCACTGTACTTGGGGGAAAATCATGTTTCTGGCTGCTAGGGGATGAGTCAGGTCAAGACAGGAGAGAGAAGACAATTTTGACTCACTTGCCTCACATGTAGTAGAACTGTGTCTCAAACACCTTTGTGTCTTGGCCTCTCTGTGTTGGATCCTGATCTCTTCTGCACATTGCATTTTACCAGGAAGAAGGGATATTTGGCAAGGTAAGGGTAGTGAGACAGAAGCACCAGCACAGCTAAATCTCTATGCACCCACTTTCCTGATGTTGTAGGTGAGCAAACAACCTGTGGTCACCTCACCTGGCTATGGATAAAACAACCTACCTGTCTTTTAATAGTCAAGGCAGTAACCATGTATGGTTCCACATGAATCCCAGTAGAATGAAGCTCCATTTCTTCCTGAGATTATGACAGGACTGACAAGACACAGCTTTGAAAACAATGGCATGAGTTTGACAGGGCTGCACCAAGGATTAGAGATGCTCTAACCTGGTGCCAGCCTCAGGAAAGTGCACTAAATAACAAGCAAAACAGCTTTTAATACTGGACCAGGCATCATGAATGCAAATTAAAATGCAGTGAATGTGAATGCCAGGGAAGATATGCAACATATACATGCAACATGTACAGAAGATATGCAGCATGTACAGAAAACACTGTCATTTTAGAGCAAGGCTGGTCCTGCATCCGAGAACAGATAAATGAAATGGGCGCTGCTCTTGGCCACTATAGGTCAATATGACAAAAGTTGGTACTGGACCTGTAACTTTCCACAAATTATCAGGGTACAGAAAGATTAGTGGGACCTCTAGTTTAGCTATTAATTCTACACAAAGCACTTTTATGTATTGATCTGCTTCAACAGACTATTTTTTTTCCGCTTTTCTCTGCATTCATGACTGAAACAAGCTACTTTTTATGACTAACTCTTACCAGAACACTGTCATGCCTGTGGCTTGGGTGTGTTTACAACCGTGTATCGTCTGTCACATTAGATCTCAGTTATAAAATGCCACCTTGCTGCTCCCATAGGGGATTGAAACAGGCAGAGGAAGTTTTACAAAGCCGCGGGGCCCGCACGGCCTCGCCCTCAGCAGCGGCAGCGGCGGCGGCGGCGCCTGTGACGGGCCTTGCTCGCCCCCTGCTGGCCCCGCTGGGAAGGGCAGCCCGGGCCCGCCCTGCCCCGCCTGGCTCGGGGCTGCTGCGCCGAAACTCTGCGGGAGCGGCACTCGGTGCTCATTTCCCCTTTTGTACGGACAGGTTACCTGCGACTGCCTTTGTTTTTATCCCACAGGAACTCACAGTCTACGTAGCTGTACATCGTCTCTCAGGGTGGGTGTCCAAACATAAGGAATCGTGCAGTGGTTTGGGTAAAAGTGACCGTAACAACCATTTAGTTCCGACCACCCTGCTATGGGCAGGGACACTTCCCATTCGGTCGCTCCAAGGTTGCTTGGGTCTTGAGGTCAGCTTGCTCCAAACCCCATCCAACGTGCCTTGAACACTGTCAGGGATGGGGCATCCACAACTTTCCTGCATGATCTGTTCCAGAGCCTTACCACCCTCACAGTAAATTAATTACATAGTGATTTCAAGATACGGGATGCCAACTGATTTTATAAAACTGACACTAAATAACTATGGAGATTCAACCAAACTAATAATTGAAAAGCAGCTGCAAGACTCCATCACTGCAAAGGATTCAGCTTTTCATTTTCTTAGTTAACTTGCAGGCCTTTAAAATGAGTTTTTTTAATAGTGCAATATTTTTTGTACAGTTTATGTAAAATTTTGTGCGCTTGAACAAGAAGAAGTAAGCAATATGGGTCTGTTCCAAACCCTGCTGAAGTTAATTAAGATGGAATCACACGAGCTAATACCTAAACCAGAAATAGTACAGTTACAGCTCACTGTAGTGTAGTACAGACACAGCTGTGATGCTTTCAATTCTATTTGACTTCTAAACATTATGAACAAACTGCCTTGATAAGCAAAAAAAGTGTTATAAAGCTGCAAAGTAGTAATGAAGACTTTTGTGCTAACTGATTAAGAAGCTTCCATGGTTCTTAATAATAATTAGTCTTCTGCCTCTTCCCTTGTAAAACCACCCACTTGTGGTAAATTCAGTTGTCTTCAATTATGCCAATAATCATCTGGCTCTTCTTTTCTAATAGAGTTTCATATTTTTACTTTATTAAATGCATGAAGTAAAACATTGTGACCACCGAAACATAATAATAGTAACAACAAAACTATTATACTGTCTTATATGTCAGCTGCATGATTCATTCTTCATAACCTCAATAAAAAACTAGATTCAGAAGATTAGGTTGTCATGGTCCTACAAACCAACATCTTGGCATAATTTGACAACTAAACCAAAAAAAGAAAAAAAAAGAGAAAAAAATCTGCATCCCAGATTCATAACTGCTTCACAGGCTTCCAGATTACAAAATATCCCAAAAGCCATTGGTCTGTAGAACCAGCTGGTAATGCAAAAGAGAAAAGCCCATGATCCAATATATTTGAAAGTGCATGGAGATCAGTCCTGAAGTGTCAAGTTGATGGACTGCTCCTAACAGGCCTTTTCCACTTTTAATTACTATAATCAGAATCATAGTTCAAGTTCTATTCCAGTGACAAACAATCTCATTTTTAACTGAAAGTCACCAGAATGGGAAATACCAACAAGCTAAGTACTGTGAGAAAAGGCTGACATTACCTGTAAGAATATTTATGTATGATACAAAAGTCAGTAGAGGATCACTATATACTATCAGTACAACTCTACATACCTATTATCATAATATCTGTCCTATTTATATGAAGAATGACTTTTCTAAATTCCACTAAAACATTAATAATCAATTTTTATCAGAAGGTGAAAACCATGTTTTGAGTTTTATTATAATTTGTTGTCTTACAGCTGCTAAATACATATCATAATAAACCCAGAGGGAATATACTATCATGAATATTGGCATTTGGGATACAATACCAATTTACAACCTCTGCTTTTTCAATTGCAATAGATATCAACTATCAGCAGTCTGGCCCTAATAGGAATTCATAAGCAGAACAGGCCAGCATGGCTAATACATCTGATCCCTTGTCTCCTCTTCTATTTCCTATGTAAACCAAGGAAAATTTCATGTTCTACCAGCTGACTGGGAAAATCATCTCACTGTCATTTACTTTCCAAATTTGTCATTTTTACTGTTTAAAATTTGCGATTTTATATCAAGCTTTCTATTCTAAGAAGAGCTACTCAGGGGACATCACATGTTCACGTCACATATCACAGAAACTTGTGCAAGACTCACATAAAAACATGTATGCCATTCATCAATTTTGCATATTTACTGTTACCTGAAAGCTTACTATTCTGCAGTAAAGTTCAAGGAAAAAATCATGAATGCTAATTAAGCAATAATTCCTATATATTCCAGTAGGGAACAAACATGAAAACTTCTCTTCAGCTTGCAAAACTTGGTCTTAAGTCAGCTAAATAAGTTGAAAAAAAATATTTAGGCCTGAACATTAACTAAAAAATAAAAACTGATGAAAACTTAATAGGGTGCTTTTTTTAGTTCCCACAAAGAGGAGAGCAAGGAACTTAAAATGAACACCAGAACAAGAATACTATAATCTATTCACTAAAGAAATCTTTCCTGTAACAAGAACAGAAGTATCTTATGCACAAATGTAGCTGACATTATATCTCACTAAAGTCAGAGAAACTAATCCCAGGTTTAAGTCAGGCATATCTTTCATATCAAACACCTAGCATAAAAAAAGTCGAACAGGTATATACACTAAACCTGCTCTGCAGTCTTTAAAACAGTGTTACCTGATCTCTCAAGCAATTTTGTCAGTGAAATAAACCTATGGTTCCAGAACTGTTGAACATTAACCTATAAAATGCTTTTCCCCCACAGAATTATGAAGTTTCATGTTGCAAAGAGAAAGTTTAAGGAAACGCTTCGCCCATATGATGTCAAAGATGTCATTGAACAGTATTCAGCAGGTCATCTAGACATGTTATGCAGGATTAAGAGTCTTCAGTCACGGTAAGGAAGGAATTAGTTACACTCTGCATAAGCATCTCATGTCATTCACTGCATAAAGTATATTGGCAATGTTTAACATTTCTGTGTTACGCAGCCTCTCTTTCTGTGAACACAGCTGAGCCAGAAATTAAATTGTGGGCAAAACCAAAAAAACCCATATGTGTCCAAATTTATCTCAGAAAACGGAAGTCTGAAGAATAGAAAAGGTAATCCTTTATCTGTAAAGTCCATTTGTAAACAAGGACTTTAGTCAAAAGGCTGAGGAAGACATTGAGAACTGCCTCTTTCCCATCCCATACTTCTTCTTTTCACATTAAAGAAATTGAGAACTACTGGTAATGTAGTATTTATGTAGGTTTTATGTTAGAGATTCCCAGCAACAGTAATTAAAAAACCAAACCAAACAACATTACATCATATTTATCATTATCAGAGAAGGTTAGGCATTCCTGCTTCAAACTGACAAGTCTCCCAGGAGTGGATGTTGTTAGGATGGGAGAGCTGGGAGTGGCACTGGTATGTTTGTTTCTCTATAACATCAAGCCGCTAAGAGAGGCCACCTCTTCTTTCCCCCTTTCAGTGAGTCTAGTCTTGGCTTTCCCAGATGATGGCTAAGTTCTGGCTCCTGGTTAGTGCCAACAAAAAAGAAAAGCAGTCTAATATGTTGAAAAATCATTCCTTTTTTTTTTTCTTCATTTCCCTTAATTAATAAAATTGTTTATCTTCTTCTTGAGTGCTTTCCTGAAGTACTGTGATTTTTATTTTTAACATATAAATATAGCAAACACTTCCACATTTATGCCAGTTCTAGGAATGGCAACAGCTTTTGGTTTCTCTTACAGTGTGGACCAAATTCTTGGGAAAGGACAAATAACAGCAGATAAAAGAAGCAGAGAGAAGAATCCTGCAGAGCATGAGACAACTGATGATGTCAGTATGTTAGGGCGGGTAGTCAAAGTGGAGAAACAGGTAGAGTGATTATCTGTGTTACTTCATCTTGCTTTATTGCTCATGCCTTTTCTGTGTTTTATTGCCAGTTTCAAAAGCTAAACAGATTAATTTTTTTCTATTATCTGCTTCATTTACACGTTGAAATAAAAATTATAGGCATCTTATTACCTTAACCTCTTCTCCCCTTTTCTCAGCTTGCTTATGAAAAATGTACATGGCTTCTGACATTCTTTTTCAAGGATCAATAGTGTACATCAAGCTACTTCCATTTTTCTCTTCAGCAGTTACATTTTCCCTTTGCTTGCGTTCCAGATATTTTTAATTAGTATTTGGCACTAATGTTGACCTTTTCCTCTTGTATAGGTACAATCCATTGAATCAAAACTGGACTGTCTATTAGATATTTATCAACAAGTTTTGCGAAAAGGATCTGCATCTGCACTCACCTTGGCTTCATTTCAAATGCCAGCTTTCGAGTGTGAGCAGACTTCTGATTATCAGAGTCCATCAGACAGCAAAGATTTGCCTAATTCTGCACAACTTAGTGGATGTGTATCCAGATCAGCTAGTGCCAATCTGCCTCGTGGCCTACAGCTTATACTGACACCAAATGAATTCAGCACTCAGGCTTACTATGCTTTTAGTCCAGCTATGCATAGTCAAGCAACACAAGTGCCAAATGATGGACCTGCAACGGTAAATAATACATCAAACCAAATAAACCAGACAACTAAGCCAGCAACTCCGACAACATTGCAAATACCACCCTTCTCATCGATGAAGCATATCAATAGGCCTGAGCCCATTCATATTATTCCTGTAACCACACAGGAAAATATTTCTAATGTCACCGCTTGCCTTGTTGCATCAAAGGATAATGGACAAGTTGCACAGCCTAGTGTGACAAAGGATCTCACATGGAGAAAAAGTCTGGATACAGAAGGGGAACCTTTGCTCTCAGTTAAACCTGTAGTGCAAATGGATTTAGGAAAATCTTTATCTGTACAAAACCTTATACAGTCAACAGAAGAACTGAATATACAGATTGCTGGCAGTGACTCCAGTGGTTCCAGAGGTAGCCAAGATGTATACTCCAAATGGAGGGAGTCAAAATTATTTATAACGGATGAAGAGTTGGAGACAGAGGCAGGGACAGAGACTACTGAAGCCATCTCACGCCCATTAGTGGAAACAACTCTCTCTGCTGACTCTCTAAGGACTGGAATATCAAGATCATCTCAAAACATCTGCAAGCCAGGGGATGGTACAGAAGCACTCAATCTGCTCCATGTCAAACTTAAATAACTTCTGGCTTTCTCCATTGGCTGGATCATTCCTCTAGTCATACATATCATAGCATGAACTGTTTTGAAAGCCTTTTTAATAAGATAAAATCACAAAAATCAGGATGAATCTGCAAAGCAGTTGAATGAGCCCATATTTCCTAGTTGCATGAAAAAGCATGTCTAAGCAATGGCTAACATCCAAATTTACACCTACAGTACAGCAGGCTTTCATGTAGTACAGTAGGTTTAAACAATGAGTTGCCTACAAAGCTAATGCTGCAGGATGTATCAAAAAACAAAAAATTGAGCATTTAGACCTTGTGCTGTTTCTATGGGGCAGAAGTAAAAAATCTTAAGGTTTAAAGCACTTTGCTTCTGAACTGATAATATATATATATAATGTCCTGATTTAGATGATAGTTTATGTTTACAACAAAAAGATTATCTACAGCTGCTAGCAAGGTACCAAGGAAATGAGTAACATGGGGTTAGAAATGGCTGACAGTCGCAAGATACACACATTAACTTATCAGTAATCAGTTATTTTTAGCTCTGAAGAACAGTATGTTAATACCTGTCCAGTGCTGTGGCAGAAGTACCTGACACACCACTGTCACATTGTTCTTTATAACAAGAACTATTTTGTTACAAAAAGTTTATATTTTAAGGATTGGGTCTGGCCTCAGAAGTGGATAACGTGGGTGACTGCACTGAAAATTCAAGGGAATCTCTCCTTCTTCTAGTCTCATTGAGAAGCTGACTTGTGAATCTGAACCATTTTGGCAGCAGTAGGTGAGGGAAGGAAGCAGGTGCTGCCTTTATTGTAGAAGCAATATTTCTTCTTGTGAAAATTTTGGCAATTTTCCTTGCAGTCCCAACCTGATACTACAACAGCACTTTCATAAGGCTGGACAAGAAGGGAAAATGAGGAACTGAAATACAGAGTAAAACTAAGGAGGACAGAAGGGATAAAGACAACACAATCAATGGGAAAATAAATAAATAATAATGTGGATTTAGATGGGCAGGAAGGGAAATCATCCCAGAAAATAAAACAAGAAAGGCAAAGAAGGAAAAAGTTACATGTTTGGTTTTTTTCTCACAGATACTAAGTGTTATTAAAAAAAAAAAAAAAAGCTACACAGGCAAGGGCTTGTTGCTTTTTTAATAAAAGGGGAAGAGGAGAGAGGGAAAATGGTCCCACTCTTAGCTCAACACTATGTCCCAACTACAGTAATTTATTGTAAACTTTCCAACAACACAGACTCACTGACTCCTTCCTGCTAAAACCCAAATTTTCAAATTCAAAGCCTGAGCATCAGACTGAGCATTCCTGCCTGATACACCCTCTTTTCTTTTCTTACTCTAGCCTACATGTCATTTCTGCTGAGGTGCAGGAGCAGTGTTAGTGCCTGCCTGCACATCCCCAGCAAGGCTTTGCCACTGGGAGAACCCTTTGCAGAACCTAAATGGGCTTTCACTCTTCCCAGCTGAATGAGGTTTCTGTGTGTTGCCTCCTGCCAGATTGTCACCCCACCTGCACCACAGGCTTGTAGACAACCCAGCTTGGGCTCAGCTTCCCTCTAGCAGCAGGAATATCGAATGTACGGGTGTGCCAGTGCCAGCTCACTCAGGGCAGTGTTTTCTCAAGGCCCAGACCCGCTGGGAACTCGCTATGTACATCAAAAACATCACTCCAGTCTTAACTGTGGCTAAATGCTGTAGATTGTATTGTGAAGGAGCTGATCTGTTTACTATGAAACCATTGTAACTTATGCTTCCATTTGCTTTACAGAAGTATTCCTGGATGTTACATGAGAACTTTATTATGTGAAAGTACGTGCAAACTGTAGAGTGTATATATTGTGTCATTATACGGGGTCCATGGATGGTACACTGTGTTCCATGGCTTATGCCGGAGCAAACTTCAGTTGTTAAATCCTGAAAGACACCTTGAAGCACAATTTCCTCACCGCTGATTTGCCATATAGCTCACCACATTCAGCCTTTCCTGTTTTCCTTTATGTGCAATCTGACCATACCGAAGCCTGATTACAACAGCAATTTTGTGAGGATAAATACATTTTTTTCCACATCTCAGTTCACTTAACTGTTAACTTATTTGAATGTCTGCAGTTTATCCAGACAGATATGTAAGTTTAAAGTATTGAAAATTTTAAGATTATAATAGTTTTTTAGGCTACTTTTTCCTTTTTCCTGTTCATGGTGCCTTTCTTGCCTTTCATGTGAAGCCTCCTGCTGACCTAAGAAGCATCAATGTGCTGTCAGGTTCAGTTAAGGAGCAAGCGGTTGGGCACATAGCAGCTGTGTGTCCATAGTGAAACTCCCTTCCCCTCCTTGACGAGACTGAAAATCCAAGGCATCATGAATTGGACACCACTCTTCCACCTTCATCTGCAGGAGCAGATGGTTGCACCCCCATTGCGGCCGGAAGGCGCCAATGGGAGAACTGAGCAATGGCCCTGCCTGTCCCGACTCTGCACAGAAACAGGGCCTTGGGGTTTGCTGATAATTTATCTCACAGAAACTTGGTATTTTTGCCTTAAATGAGATGCTTGAGTCCTTCTAACTTTAAGTTAATTTATTTAATACAGTTTTGTGCACAAAAGAATGAGTTCTATAAATTATGTATGAAAATATTAATGTCTTTACAAAGTACTGATAAACCCAGAAGATCGTATCTTTTCAAATTAAGGTTTAAAATTCTAATTTTTTTCTTTTATGCTCACCATTATTATTTTTGTAGATGCAAGTCTTATCATATAGGGTTTTTTAACATTATATTGATAGAAAATAGAAAGAGTAGTGAATATATGAGATTTTAAAGAGGAAGAATTGTTTGTTTGGACTTTTATAAGCTTTACTCATATTTCCTCATGAGAAGTTTCTACACTCTCTCTTTAAAAGACAGTGTCATGACTGACAGTCATTCATTGGTTTCACAAAAGAAGGGCCTATCTGGCTTCTCTTGTCCTGAGCTCCTTATTTAAGTCCAGCTCATGACAGCTAATAAGAATTGTTCATGAGTCAGGACAAAGAATTTTATTTTTAATTTTTTTTCTGATTAACAATCCACTCAAGAATTATTTGAAGAGAGAAGTTGAAATTAAGTAAGAGCTTCAGGACTTAAGCCTTATCTAAATAACTGTTTTCTGGTCAGCATGTTCTTCTACCTGAATGAAGAGAGAGCTGAAAAGAATGGTTTCAATTACTATTATTTGTTCAAAAATTTGTATTTGCTCCTGGCTTATATGATCTATACTTTTTATTTAAAAATGAATATGATGTTTTAGCCTAGGGTTCAAGATTGCAAAGATCATACACTTTTATTTACAGTGCCCACAGTTGTTCCATATGTTTTTGAGACACTCCTACTTAGAGTGACTGCTCTCATTGTAGTATGGTGATGAGTAATTCACCTGCTTTTCTGTGATAAGTCAAATCATGCTGAATTGCTGATGTATAGTAGAACATCTGATGTATAGTAGTATTTCTGGATTGGGACCTGCAATCCTTACTCAAGCAAAAATTCTATGGAATTCATTCATTCTATGAAATTCAAGAATTTTTCTTGAATTGGGAACTCAGATTCAAATCCTGATTTTGTTGGGCATCTGTTTGAAGTGAAAATGGTAATATTCCAGTTATTTCCTGAGGAAACTAATACTTAGCTGACTTTACCCTTGTCACATTGACTATATAAAAAATAACGCACAAAGTATTGATATAAAAATGGAAGGAGAGAAGTGACATTTTTTAAAAGCACAGAGAAAATCAGAATATTCAGAAAGTAAGAATAAGCAGGAAAAGAAAATATAACAGCAAAGGAATGGAGGAAAAAAGGGTTTAAACACCCGAGGCTAAATTCATCCTTGGATGGCTTCACTGACTTCAATGAATTCACTGCCCAGCTGGGTGAAGCTCAGCCTCCATTGGGATAATCAGACTCAGTTACATTGACCTTACAGGAACTGAACAACCTGTACCAGAAAGGAACTTGCCTCTCTGGGCCAACTTTTATCCTGACTTATATGTCATGCAATCCTTTTGGATTCACTGGGTTTGAATGAAATACGGAAAAGAATTTGTCCCAGGTATTTCTGCTTCACATTTTTTTTCAAGTGTGTTAATTGACTTTATTCAAATGGATTACAACATCACACAATGTGCTGTCACTGTCTAAAAATATTAATTTGTTTTTGAAATAAGATTTGTCCCCTGCAACGTCAGTGGAAGCATGTAATATTTAATATTTTCCTATCCATTCATCTGGATGCAAATGTGGCCATTCACTCAGCTGTGGCCACACACAGGACAATTTGACATATCCAATGTCATCTGCTATTGGAAGCGTTTTTGACTTCTTTGAAAGACAAAAAGAAAGTTTCGTAGCAGGCTTAGAAAGTACGATGGCTGCTTCCACTGACACTGCAACATTAGCCAGTACATTACAATGTTAATTGTAAATTCTTGGCAAAGTTGAATCCATATTGTTGTTAATAAAAATGACTTGAAAAGTACCGTGACTACTGAGTTTTTTCCTTATATAAAAGATTGTATGGTGTGACCACATATCAGGTAAGAAAAAACAATTAAGCTTGTTCATTGGTTTCCTTTTGGAGTTTTGTAATTCTTTAATAAGTGAACCAAAACACTACAAAGGAAGTTTATTAGAATAAAATGTGCAGAAACCAGTCTGACATGTTCAGTTTCTGGTAACTGTTCACAGCAGTTTACTTTCACATAATGTTGCAGCTCCTTTATGAAAATGAGCTTGGAAGTTATTGCTGCCTTCCCTGTTAGATGAAGTGCAATGGATTCAGTATTGGCAATCAGGGACCTGTGTGGGGAGCAGGATTTCTCATGGAAGGACATCTGTCATCTCAGTTAACTTGAGGCCTAGGTGAAGCCATTTGTTCTGCATTTGACTGTGAAAGTTGCTGTAGTAGAATGTCACTGCACCAAACCTGAACCACTCATTTGCAACATGCCTCCTTTCGCCACTGTGCTCTTCCTACAGCCTGGCTGAAGACAAGCTTCACTATTTGAGTGTAAAATACTAAATACATAGAGCCTCTTCTTGTGCTGAAGTCACTGCCTTTGTGGAGGCTTCAAGATCGAACCCAGATATCTCAATGTGCAGGTGATCCCCAGCCTCTCTGATGAACATCACCTTAAGATACTGAAATTTAAAGCCATGGTTGCCAGAAAGGGAGGTTTTCCATGTCAGCCAATGTGAACACTACCAAGCTCTGCCTAATAAACACAGGACAGGAAAAGAAGCAAATGTACTCATTCTCTTTTTGTGTTAAAGCAGGCAGCCTTGCTTCCTGTGTGCACAGAGCTGTTAGGGAAGGCTCAGAAGACAGCAGAGAGTAGTTTTTCCTGTGGGGTTACCTGGCAGATTGCCACAAGTAGGCACAGGTGGTGATATGTATCCATAAGACACATGCATAAATGTTCCGTGTTCAGTTCTGTGCAATAAGAATTCAGGACCCTACCTAACAAGGAAATTTAAACACCCATTTAGTATATTTTTTGTGTAATTGAAGGGGTATGTTAGCTCTTTTTTGTTTTCATTTGGTTTTCTCTATTTTTTTCACAGTTATGGTAACAAAGCACTGACACAGTTTACCCAGGGAGGTTGTGGAATCTCTGTCCTTGGAGAAAGTCACAGGCCACCTTGGCAACTGGCTCTTGGTGTCCCTGCTTGAGCAGAGGGGTTGGACCAGATGGCCCCCAGAGGCCTTCAAGCTCAGCCATTCTGTGATTCTGTTTCCAGTATTGTATCAGCTTTAGTACATTGAGTCATACTGAACATAAAAGCTTCATTAAAGCATCATTAAGGCTTCATTTAAGATTAAGTATTATGACTTTGCTTAAAAAATCAGACTGCAATGTATCAGCATGACACCAGCCTGGGTACCTGGCAAAATTACACAGTGCCACCCTCACTCCCTTGCCTCCCCTGAGGTTGCATGCCTTTCCCTTCCACCCTATAGACTTTGGGGGCTTCCCACATGTTCTCAACCCTATTCTTGCCTCTGCTGCCTCCTCCTCTTCCTCAGCTAAGCCCAACCCAGGGTCCCCCTGTGCTGGCAGAGGAGCAGGGAGAAAATCAGGAAGTATCAGCAATAGTGTGGCCAGCAGGACCAGGGCAATGATTGTCCCTCCAGTACTCAGCACTGGTGAGGCCACACCTCAAGTCCTCTCTTCAGTTCTGGGCCCCTCACTGCAGGAAAGACACTGAGGTGCTGGAGCGAGTCCAGAGAAGGGCAAGGCTGGTGAAGGGTGTAGAGCACAAGTCCTGTGAGGAGCAGCTGAGGGAGCTGGGGTTGCTTATCCTGAAGCAAAGGAAGCCCAGGGAGGCCCTTATGGCTCTCTATAACTGCCTGAAAGGAGGCTGTTGCCAGATGGGGGTCGGCCCCTTCTCCCAGGCCTCCAGTGACAGGACAAAGGACACAGCCCTAACGTGTGCCAGGGCCAGTTTAGGTTGCGTTTTAGGAAGAAGTTCTTCGCAGAAAGAGTGAGTGGGCATTGGAACAGGCTGCCCAGATAGCAGGGGAGTCAGCATGCTCGAGGTGCTTAAGGAAACACTGCACGTGGCATGGTGTCAAACACTCAGTGCCACGATGTGTTTGACAGGCTGCTGCTGGATCACGGGCTGGACGCGATAGTCCCCGAGGCCTTTTCCAGCCGAATCGATTCCGTAATTCCGATAACACAGCAGGGGCAGCCATAGAGCCCCGCCCCCCCTGCGGAGCCAGCCAATCACAGCTCAGAGAGCGGCCCGCCCCGGCCAATCAGCGCGCCCCGGGCTTGAGACGCGCCAAGTCCCTCCGCATGGGCGGCCGAGCCGGCTGCGGCCGCCATGTCGGACTGGGACGCGAGCAGCGATGAGGAGCTGGGCGCGCCGGACTGGCCGCGGGCCGCTGCTGCTGCCGGGCCGCTGTGCTGGTCGCCCAGCACCCCTTCGTGGGGCCGCGCCTCCGTGGAGAGCGGCGGGCGATGGGGGAAGGGCGCGGGGAATCCTGGAGGGGAAGGGTGGGAGCCGCGAGGCGCTGAAGGCTCCGGCGGCCCGAGGCGGGCGGCGCGGCCGCGGCCACCCCGAGCTGCGGCCGGCCAGGCTCGGGACTCTGCGGCGCCGCTCTCCTTCCACGTGGATAGCGCCCTGGTCGGGGCTCTCATAGGTAATGCCGGTGCACCCCCGGGCCGGGTGCTTGACCCGCTGGGGTAAGCGGGTGGGGAGGAGCCGGTCCCCCCCAGTGCCCTGAGGGAGTGCATCCCTGCCTTCCGTCAGCCTGGCCGCGGAGGGGCCCCTCGCAGTTCCCGCGCGGCTCTCTCCAGCTGCGCACGGCAGGCTGCTTTTGCAGTCTGCTACTCGCCAGGGAAACTTGTCCGCCCTGAAGTGATTGAGTTTATGTCTATTTCTCAAGGCCAGCAGTGTGCAAGTGTTCTGAAGCCCCTCTAGTCACATGGAGGAAGGGTGACAATCTCTTGATATAGTTTTACTCCTCCATCTCTTCTACTGAAGGGCATTCCCCTACACACATACCTTACATTTGTTTAATTGACAGAAGAGTTACCTACAGTCTCCAACAGTTTGGTGTCACAAGTGCTTTTATTTGTAGGTACACGCACTCATATGAAAGTCTTGGGGTTTGGTCACAAGCAAAATGCATACAATTAATGTGTAGGTTTGGGCAGTTTGTCCTAAATCTCTGTAATACCTGCTGTGTATCTTTATAACAGGTAGGGGTGGAACTAAAATTAAAGAACTTGAGGATTCTTCAGGTTCCAGGATAAAGGTACCATGTGCTGTATGTTGTCAAGGAATGGGCTCTTTTGGGGACATACTTGGTTTTGTTTCTGTGTAAACCATTTGGAGGAAGTTTAAGGGTGTTACAATAGCTGTAACAATGCCACTGTTTTAGAGTTGGTGTAAAGAAAGTGGAATTGAGGGTGCAACTGGATGTTATGTGAAAATAGGAAAAAGTTATTGATTTTTTTTCCTTACGTTTGGATTTATTTCCTTCTCTTAGAAAAGGAATTAAAGGGCCTTTTCATAGAACAAGTTAAACTTCAGGGAAAAAAAAGATCAAAAATTGTTTTCAGTATGTGTTCTTGTATAATGTTTGTCTTTGCAGTATGGAAAAAAAATTCAGTGATGTTTTTGAACATAGGTTACAAGAGGAACCTATGAATCTGAAGTAAAGATTTTTGGCAGCATTGATGTGCAAAACAAAGCCAAGATGTTGATTGACAATCTTATTACAAGTTCTGGACAAAACTATGTTAGAGGTGGGACAGAGAAAGGTAAGAAATGTGAGGTTGGGGGAAAAAATATTATTGATTGTATTCAGTATATTTGGTGGTTTGCTGGAGTCTTTTTATTTGTTAGTATTTTGCCAAGTAAGTTAACTTAAACCTCTTAAACCTTGTTCTTGGGCAATGGCATCTTCTTAAAACAGAAATACCAAGATATCCTCCTTTTTTTCAACTATGGACAGTTTCCCCCTCCCACCAAACTGCCAAGATTCCATGAAAACCAGTTCTTGTGTGTTTTCAACAAACAATTTTATGGATGCAGAATGTTATACCACCTTGGTTCTTGCATTATCAGTTTGATTCCTCCAAAATAACAGTATTGGCTGTAGTGCAAGTTTTAATCTGGTATCTGTGGAGCATTACAATTCAGTAAACCTTTGTAAAGATAGTCTATGAAGTGCTGATCATAGCACAGGCCATACTTCCTACTACTTTCAAGGGATGTTAATGTCTCAAGATTTGGTGTTGCACTTCGTGCCTGGCTTTACTGGGCTTTCCTGTGGTAGCTGTGTTACATGGATGTAGAAATCATTTTTGTATGTTTGGATGCTGCTTATATTATTGGTATGTCTTGTATGTGCTCCCAACAATTTTTTGCACAGGCAAACACCATCCACAATTGTTGATCTGATGCTCTGATGAGGAAGAAGGGATCCAGGAATTATGTTCCAGCATTAGAATAAGGAATGGAGTAGTTGTGTGTTTCCTTTTTAGAAGTGTCCCAGAAGGTGGATGAGTATGTTTCAAGAGACTAGAAATTTTTAAAGCTACCTTTGGATTTGTGACAGTGTTATCCCTATGTTTCCTGCCTTTCCACTAGTTTTCCACACAACTGTGTTGCTATTTATATCTTCAGGTTAAACTGCACTTACTTAGGATGTGTTAATCTCATCAAAAAAGAAGTATAGAATATAACTAGACTGAGACTTTATTGTGGTGTTGTTGGATGCTTTAGACCTAAGCTTTGCTCTTGTAGCTGTTAAAGCTTTCTCTCTGCATATCATCTACTGGTTTCACAAGTTTTTCCAAACCTTGCTGCACAAGAAACCTGGTTTATAGCTGGAGGAGAAGCATGTCATACCCTGTCACTGCTTCCTTTAAGTAGCTAATGATGCTGAAATGTTTCCCTTTTTTTATCAGAACTGAATTTGTACACATTTTAGCAATGTTTCATGGCAGAGATCTGGGAAATAATTTTCCACTTATAATAGACATGTTTCATGTCTATTTAAAATATGTGAGGCCTGTAATAGAAAACAGTGTTTGTTTTGAGGGGAGATTTCTCCCCATGGCTTGTTCGATCAAACAGCAGCATTTTGTCACTAACTCTGCAGGAAAAACCTTGGACATTATCAAGCCTGAAAATAACCCAAAGAAACCAGTAATTAACTGGGCCTCTCTTCGAGAAAACAGGGCCAAATATGAATCTATGAAGTGGGCAGGTTAGTTTTACCATTTTGATTGTATTATACTTGTCTTTATGTGATAAATCTGTTGGAATGCTTAAACGTTTCCGATACTTGCTTTGAGATGACTGAATGTTTCAGAGCCCAACTTAGTGACGTATTTGCAGTGAGCTGGCCATGTTAGCATTTCTCAACATGGCCATGGAGGATACTTGATTACTGTGCCAAGACTTAAACCTGCTACTCATGTGGTATTTTGAATGTCCCCCTTTGAAAATGGTGTTGTTTTGTATGTGGCCACCAAAAAAAAAAAAAACAAACAAACTAGGAGTTGTTAAATATACTACTGTATGTGTTAGTAGATATTACTTCAGAACTTTAAATGTGGGGGAGTGGGTTTTTTTGAAGTATTTGTCTCAGCCTTCATCTTTTTACATGAGCAATGGTTTTCCATCACTTCCAGCTAGTCTTCTGGCTCAAGGCACTTTCTGGGCCCTGGGCTTTCCATCTTAAGCTTAAGCAGACTTACGGTGACTCTGTATTATTTCTTGCTGATTCAAGTGGGATTTTTCTGATTGTTTAAGGCTTGCCTCCAATTGAGAAAAACTTCTACAAGGAATCAGCCAGGACTGCATCTATGTCACAAGAAGAAGTGGAACTGTGGCGGTAAGATCATTTCTTTAGGGAATCGTCTGCTTGGCAAAAATTACTATTAAACTAGAGAGACTAGAAAGTGGGAGATGAAATACTGAGACAGAGACTCGAATTCTGGGGTCTTGTAGCAACTTGATCTTTTTAAGAACTCTTTCTTGGGAATGAAAGGACTGGCAGATAAGATTATTAGTTGTCTGGAAAAATAACCTCATGGATTTTCTGCTTCTCTAAAAATGTTTGATTTAGTTGAATTTCAGAAAGAAAAATTTCATAATGGTTCACTGACTTTTTTGGCTGTTTCTTTGCCTTTCATGAGACAGTATGTTCACATTTTCTTCCAAATAGAATTGTTCACAGGTTGAATACCTTTTGGCTGCAATTTTTTCCCTGCGTTTTTTTAGTCAAAACTATCTTCAAACCAAATTCCAACTTTTGTTACTGTTGTCTTCCTTTTTTATCTGTCTTGTTTTTACAAGCACATCCTCGTGCTTCAGTTAACTGCATCTGTTTATTTTGATCCAGCAACCTATATCAGTACCTTGCAAGGAAAACAGATCATCTGTTTCAAGTGGTTTGGTTCAGGCCTTGGTAATAGTTACAGCCCTCTTTAGTAGTTCTAATGAAGTTGCTGAGCATTACTGAAGTGTTAGCTTTTTATTACTTTTCTTTTTGCAAGACGTCTTTTTTTCTTTGCATGCCAGAGAAACTTTGCCACAGTGAGCAAAGCATGGAATTGTTTCCAGATGCTTACACCTTTTCCCTAGAAGTATATGGATGTGTTGTTGTTAGAGCTAGTGAAAATTACAGTACATTGTTCTTGTATGTACTGAGAGCTTGTGTGATAAAGGAATTTTTTTTCTACTTCATCTAATCCATTTGCTTTAAGGAAAAAAAGGCAGCAACTGAAAGAAATAATTCTATAAACATGAGGGGAAATTGAGTTGCTCATTCTTTTCCTAGTTTACACCCCACTTGAAGAAAAGCTTTTTACTGAATGGAATCTTCAGAGGAGTACAGGACTGAAATCAATATGTTTATGCAGATGTCATGGTTTAAAACCAGATGGAAGTTACGCTCTAAGCAGCCACTCCCTTCCCTGACTCCCTTTGGTAAGAGAGGGACAAAAAGGCAGAGATTATGGATTGAGATAAGAATTTACTGGAAAACATCAATGAGATAAGAAAAACAGCAACAACACTAATAAAAACATTGTATAAAAGGTGATTGCATGCAAAAATGCTCATGGAAGTCCAACCAACATGACACCACCACAGAGCTCCTGAGACGAAGGAGAGATGGTGGATGAAACTGTCCATGCCCATGTTTTTTTCCCCAAGCCTGAGATAACAAAAACCGATGATGCCAAGCCCACTGGTCAGACCATCCACACCACCTCACCTCTCCAATCCATTTGCTCTCCTGCAGAAAGGAACAAAATGACCATGGAGGGTCATTGCCTTTTTTTTCCGCAGGAAACCTCACGCCCTTTCTCCTGGAAAGTGAAAATCCCCTTCACCCCCAATGACAATTTGGGTGATACAGAGTAACAATGTAGGCATGCCCGCATGGCTTCAAGCTCCCCTCATTGCCTGTGGGAGAAAATTGACTCTGCCCTTGGTTGAAACTAGGACAGCATATTAAGAGCTCTAAATTGGAGGAAACCTTGGAACAGCAGTTTTTAATATAGTCTTTTATATGAGTTGTGATTTGGGTTTTGCCTGCTTTTAGGGGCTTGTTGTTCCAGTGGGGTTTTTTTGGGGGGGGGGGCTTGTCTTACTGGTCATGTTTTTTTTCCAAAATCGTTCAGTTTGTGTTCTCTAGAGTATCCAGGTAGCTGCTCTGAAAACAGCTGGGGGAGATTTTTGTCAGAATATAGAATTTTGACTGTTAAGGTGAAACCATTCATCTGAATTCTGAGTTGTCTTTGGGTTTAAAAATTTGTCATACCTACTTAATTTGTAATCAGGTATAATTGTAGCCTGATAGGAGTGCAGTTCATGTTAATAGCCATATATAACTTCAAATCAGTTTTTCTTAAGAAAAAATGGTTATTGATACCTCTGGGAGAAGTGTTCCTATAGAAGGACTTTTAAGAAAAATAGAAGACTAATTCAGACCCATTCAAGAGCCTGAACTTGTTGTTTTTTTTTTTTGTTCAAGGAGTTTAAAAAAAGTTAAGAAACACAGTATTTTATATTAGCTCTAATTTTTCAGATTATGAGATTTTAAAACAATTGCACTACTTTATATAGGAAAGAAAATAATTCTATAACTTGTGATGACTTGAAAGAAGGTGAAAAGCGCTGCATTCCCAATCCTGTTTGTAAATTTGAAGATGTATTTGAGCATTATCCTGATATTATGGCCAATATAAGAAAAGTTGGTTTTCAGAAGCCTACACCAATTCAGGTATGTCTTCAATTTTGATGACTCTTTAACTGAACCTTAAGAGAAAAATGAAGACTACATTTAAGTATTTGTTGTTTTATGTTAGTCCCAGGCGTGGCCAATTATACTCCAAGGAATTGATCTTATTGGTATAGCGCAGACTGGTACTGGGAAGACATTAGCATACTTAATGCCTGGATTCATTCACTTGACTTCACAACCAATGTAAGGACTGCTCACAGGTCTGATTTGTTTAGCTGTGCATACTTCCCCCTGCACTTACTTCCTCCTGCACCCAACTCCTGAGATGATTTTCTAGTAATGAAGATAAAAATCATGTATTGAAAAAAAAAATTATAAATCTGATGGAATAAGCAGCAAATTTGTCACCATGGACAAAATAGCATTCTGTTAGCAGCAGTGTACAGAAGTTTAGAACAGTATAAAAATGTTCAGTGTCAAGCATGATGGACTTTGCCCATCCTTATATACCAACATTCTAAATATGCTTTGTTGCAGATCCAAAGATCAGCGTGGGGGGCCTGGAATGTTGGTTCTTGCTCCCACTAGAGAACTGGCACTTCAAGTAGAGGCAGAGTGTTCAAAGTATGCATACAAAGGAATTAAAAGGTAGTCTTGCTTTTTACTGGCTTGTTAAGTAATATCTTTTTTCTCCTACCAATACCTACTACAATAATTGCATTTAAAGAGGGGAGGAGATAGTAGTAAATGCAGAGTTTATATTTTCCCAGTTTTCAGAATTTCTGTTTTGACTAATCTCATGGTCAAAGTCTGTGAAGCTTTTCTGCTTCTTTTCCTTCTGAGTTGACAGCTAAGAAGAATCACAGAATATGCTGAGTTGAAAGGGACAAGGATCATCAAGTCTGGCTCTTAGCCCTGCACAGGACTAAGAGTCACACCCTGTGCCAGAGAGCATTGTCCAAACACTTGAACTCTGTCAGGCTGGTGCCGTTATCACTTCCTTTGGGAGCCTGTTCCAGTGCCCAACCACCCGCTGAGTGAAGAACCTTTCTCTAATATCCAACCTAAACCTCCCTGACACAGCTTCAGGCCATTCCCTTGGATCCTGTCACTGTCACCACAGAGCAGAGATCAGTGCCTGCCCCTCCTCCTCCCCTCACAAGGAAGCTGTAACTGCAGTGAGGTCTCCCCTCAGTCTCCTCCAGGCTGAACAGACCCAGTGCCCTCAGCTGCTCCTCACACAGCTTCCCCTTAAGGCCCTTCACCATCTTTGTTGGCCTCCTTGGACACTCTCTAATAGTTTCATGTCTTTCTTACATTGTGGTGCCCAGAACTGCCCCCAGCACTCGAGGTGAGGCTGCCCCAGTGCAGAGCAGAGCAGGACAATCCCCTCCCTTGCCCAGCTGGTGATGCTGTGCCTGATGCCCCCCAGGACAGGGTTGGCTCTCCTGGCTGCCAGGGCGCTGCTGTGTCTCATGTTCAACTTGCCATTGACCAAGTCCCTTTCCCTGGCACTGCTTTCCAGTATCCCATTCCCCAGTCTGTCTGTACATCCAGGGTTGCCCATCCCAGGTGCAGAATCTGGCACTTTCCCTTATTGAACTTCACGTGGTTGGTGGCTGCCCAGCCCTCTGATTTGTCAAGGTCCCTCTGCAGGGCCTCCCTGCCCTGGAGGGAGCCAGCAGCTCCCCCCAGTTTTGTATTATCTGTGAACTTGCTTAGTACCTCTTCCAGTCCTGCCTCCATGAGATGAAGATCTTATGAGGGCCAAGGATGGAGCCCTCATAAGGTCACCAGGTCACTAGGCTGATGTCATCCCATTCACTGTAACCCTTTATGCCTGACCCGTGAGCCAGTTGCTGACCCATCCCATGGTGTGTTTATCCAGCTGTGTGCTTGACATTTTGTCCAGAAGGAAACTGTTAGAAATAGTATCGAAAGCTTTATTGAAATCTTAACAGGTTACATCAACTGGCCTCATTGATCATCTTGGTGGGTTACATTGTCATAAAAGGAAGTCAGGCTTGACAAGCAGAACTTCACCCTCATAGAGCTGTGCTGGCTGTGGGCAGTGACTACCCTGTCTTACAGACAGTCTGTTTGTCAATACCTCCCAGAATAATCTTCTTCATAACTTCATCAGGGACCTTTCTGGATTCCAAAGACGGCTCAAAAATCATTGAGACTGCAATGACATCAGCCAGCTCTTTGAGAATTTTTGTATAAATCCCATCATGCCCCATAGGTCTGTAGAAATCCAGCTGGAGCAGCAGATCCTGCATAATTGCAGCTCAGCTGGGAGTGGATCATCCTCACATTGTGGTTCTCCAGCTCAGGGCACTGAAATCCCCTTGGTGCATCATCTGTGGCTTTCTTTTCTAAGAGATTATTTTGCTGAATAATGTTCAGGTTCTAGCCCACACAAATCTTTTTGTAATGTTTTGTTTGGCTCTGAGTTATGGGGTATATTCCATCTCTGTCTTTTTTTTGTTAAACTTTATGGTATTTTCATCAACCCATTTCTCTAGCCTTTTTGTTGTTCTTCTGGAAAAAGCCTAATTCTCTTGAGTGTGTCAGCTCCTTCCCCAGTTGGGTTTCATCCACAAACCTGCTAAGTGTAGATCTTCATTTAAGCAATTAAACAGACATTACTGTACTCTGAATCTTGCTTTTAGGGGCCTCTGTTAACTTTGTGTAGCACTCTGAATAAGTCTTACAGTCACCCCAACAGCAAAACATACCACTTTTGATGGTACTTTTAGGAAAATCATGCATCCTTTCATATGTTCATCTATTTTTTGTGTAAATATTTTCAGAACAACCCAAAACATATGAGCTATCTTCCTTTCATGATTTTTTTTCACTGCAGTTTCAGCAGAAAACTATTGCTGAATTGCTGAGGGAATGTCATTCAGTGTTAATTTTATTAATTACTGCAATACTGTCAATCACACTTGTTAATCCCAGGTGACACTTTTAAAGCAACATGGTGGCATTTATTTGAAAAGGATTGACTTTAGCTGAAATTTAATACACTATGTCTGTAAAACTTTTATTTTACAGTATTTGCGTCTATGGTGGTGGGGACCGAAAAGGACAGATAGACATGGTTACCAAAGGTGTGGATATTGTTATTGCTACTCCTGGCAGACTGAATGATCTTCAGATGAACAACTTCATAAATTTGAAGAGCATAACATATTTGGCAAGTAACTGATATGCAATGAGTAATGCACCAGCTGGGAAATGGTTGACTCAGTTTGAATTTAAGCTTTAATGGAGTTTTCTTTAAACTTCCAAAGTATTAATTACAATACAGCTTAACACTGAAATTGGAGTTGGAGGGATGATTCATACTTATTATAATTGCATTGCAGATGTGAAATATTCCCTAGGAAAAATAGGCTTCTAGCACAGCAAGCATTTTTAAGATGCTAAATTGTTTTTTCAGTAATGGCATTCTAAAATTCATTTTGTCAGGATTAGTTACTAATGGATGAAATGCCTTTCTGAAGTTCTTTTCCCTTTCTTTTTAAAGGTTACCAGTGTCTCAATTTTTTTTAGAACTTGTGTGGTAGCAGAGTCAGACACAGATATTTAAATGTTGGGGGACTGACTTTCTTTTGATCTCAGTGGGAAAACAGCCTTATAAACGTTATTATAATCCTTATGTCTTAATTTAATTTTTGCCTTTTCCTGTGCTGAACAGGTAAGACCATTGCTGTTTGTAAAATGCTTCTATATATTCAATTTATTTCTAACTTGTCTGTGAATTGTTGCCTAGTTTGACAGTTTGGCCATGCTCTCTGTCCACCCCACTATTCTGTGAGAGTTAAATTCACTTTTACATGTTGTAACAAGTTAGCTCCAATTCTAAGTGATAGTTGTGAGCTTACTGGCAAAGCCAGTGGTGGTATAGCATCAGTATAAATTTGGCCATTTGGGAAAAAGGTTTATTACAGGAGAGTAGCATTCTGTAGAAGATTCACATGTAATTGCTGAGCAGGAGGAAAACAGGCCTGAAAACCTGCATTCTGAGAACTATAGGAACATAGATCATCTTTCTGCCAAGGTGAAGTATAGTCATACCAGAGGCACACACTGGTTCCATGGGTATTGAACCAAAAGCATGCTTCAGTATGTGCAGCATATACTGAAGTATGACATTGCTAAAAAGAATTAACTATCAAATTGAAAAATATGATGATGTGAAGCAGGAGAGACAATTTTGTTGCTCCACTAGCAGTTAAATGTTTTCAGAAGAACCAATGCAAGAACCATATATTGTGATGTGGTTAAGGTCTTAATGCCTCAGACTTTAAGGAAATTCTGTGCTACCATAGCCTCATGGACATTGAAATTGGACATTGAATTCTATCTTTTTGTAATCGTGCTGTATATTTATCCTTGTTTCTTGTGCTTTTCAATATGTATGATGCTTTCTATTTCCAGAGCTTCATTGTCAGTTTTCAGCCAACAAATAATTTAATCTTGCAGCCTTGCTTAAGGAAAAAAAGAGTGGTAATAGATTTCACATTTCCATCTTGGATGAAGAACACTCTTCATTAAAAAGCTTTGTTTACAGTTTTCGTTTAAAGATATTACTGAGTCTTAGGAAGGTTCCCAAAGTAAACTGAGTATTACTTGCTAATATGATACAATTATTTCCCAAAGGACCTCCAAGGTCAGATACTGGGATGCAATTGTTAAAACCCAACTAAATGTACCACCCCCCAGGAAAGAAAAACAACAACACAAAACCAAGCTCTGGTAATTATGTCTAATTAGGTACTGGACCCAAGGTGAGTTTGAGGTTAGAATTTCTCTTCTTGCCTGACAGAACCATCAAGTTGATCAAGTCTTGATTCAGATTTTTAGGAAGCCATTTATTCAAGACAGACTGCTGTTTTTCAGAAGTAAGGTTGTAGATTCTGTCATAAACAGCTTTTTGATTGTTCAAAATACATGTCATATGAAAATATGTTTTTTTTTGCCTGTGTTCAGTGTAAATCAGTATTCATTCATCAGTAGTCTGATGAAGTAATCTTAATTCTTTGGACTTCATGCTGATAAAGCTGAAGGAAGGAAATTGGAATTGTGCATGAATAATTGGGAAACATTTAGGACAAAGTGCAATTAAAAATATATATAAATCATGAAGGAGGATGTAAAAGGCAGATTGCAGTAGTGCTTTTATTCTTCAATACAAAAAAAATGGTGTTAAACTTACCAATTACTAATTTAAAAGAAAGGAAAGAGGAAACTAAATCATTTTCAAAGGAAGAACTGGCTTGTAAGAATTTTTTTGCCAAGAAATAGAACTGAAATGAACAATATTGACAAACAAAAAAATATGTGTATATTTAAAGATAACAAGAAACCTAAGACTATGTCCATTGAAGGGCATTTAGATTATAAACCAGGATGGGGCTGTGACACATTTGAAAAAAATCAGTACTGATATATATTGCAGCCTTCTTAATGAAGCAGCTATCAGAAAAAAAAAAAAGGTGAATTTCAGCTACCTGATCCATCAATTAGGCACAGATGCTTCCTTTTCCCTCTGCAGCAAGTGACCTTAATAGCAAAGAAAACTTCTACTGCTGAAAAAGGCCTAGCAGCCAACTCTTTATGTAAATTAGTGATGTTTCAGCCTTGCTATTCTATTAGAATTCATGTAGTCAATGACACCTCCATAAGCCCTCTAAAAATAAAGAGAACTAAACCAAGAAATAGAATTCTTGTCTTATCTCTCAGTTGATAATTTTTTGTTATTTCAGAGATTTACATTAATAATGTACTAAACCTCTTTAATATAATAAAATGTCAGAGAATAATGGAACAGCAAAATTAGGACAGTAGAAAGAGATTATCATCAATCCCTTGTATTTCCACATAAGTGTCTAGAAATTGTTGACACTTAAAAGCACAATCCATATAACTTTACTTTTCAAATAGAGTTTCTATAAATCAAAGAAAATAAATGAGTCTCAGATGTCAGTCTTCTTTCTTTGTATGAGACTGAAAACATTCACAAGTGTGCTTGTATATTAGAAAACATTTTAGTTCCAAAGAGATGTTCTCAGACCTCCAGCTCTCTTGTTCAATTCTGGCCTTTTTTACCAGACGAAACAAGCTTGTGCTCTGGGAGTTGTGCAGTGTCCTAGTGTGTGCCAGAATGTATGCTCTGGCTTTTTCCTACTTGTAATGAGGAACTAAATTGACAAGTGATATTTTGGTCCTGTATGAGATATCTTGTGAGGTAGAAATGAGATTTCCCCTTAAAATTGCAAACAATTTATGTGTGTTGAGCAGGTTGCTCCCCTCTGGGTTTGATTGGTTGTGGGTTTTTTGGTTTTGTATTTTTTTTTGGTTTGTGCTTAGTTTTAGCCATCAACCTAATTATTGGTAAAACAAACATTTGTTTTTTTGTTTTATTGACTTTAAATGCTCTTAAAGGAACTGTGAATTTTCTTGTTTTGCCTGCAAATATAATACTGAATGAAAAGGTGTCAAGGAAATTGAAGAGGTAAAATACAAGTTGAACAGGTTTTGCAGTAAGTTATGGAGAAGATTCTGCAATTAAAACAGTTACCATTAAAATCTTTTTCTGTGTATTGTCCTGTTGAAACAAACCCTTATCTGAGGAACTAGGCAGAGTAAATAACTTTGTTTCTGAACAGGTTTTAGATGAGGCTGACAGAATGCTGGATATGGGATTTGAACCTCAGATAATGAAGATCCTAATAGATGTGCGTCCTGACAGACAAACTGTTATGACAAGGTATCTAAACATGAGAGTGCTCAGGACTCAAACATAAGGTTATTGAACATGTTAATTTCAAAATAAATGTGTCAGTTATTAAAATTTTTACTTGTTTTCTTTCTAATTCGGTCTAGTCAGTCCTGATGAGTCATTTGACAGATTTTTTTTTTCAGTTTGTACTGTCTTTTCTGACTTTTTTACATCAAATATAAAGACAGTCGAGTTATCCCAAAAAAAATGAATGTATCCTCAGAATGCTGGAATTTGGCATATCAACTTAAAATGCCAACTTATGGAATGCCAGTTCTCCTTCTGGGACCAAATGTATTTCCTGACTTTCTGATCAGTATCTGTGCTAGTCTGTACCTGGATTAATTTTGAAATTATGCAGCTTTTGGAATCTTAACAATCAAATATCCCAACAATAATTTTGGTTCCTGTATTTTGCATTTAAGCTGTTTAAGAAAACAGACTAGAAGCTTGCTTATTGGGTACTGTTCAACAACTAACCTCAGCTGAGGCTTCACTAGAAAGGTTCCATAATTGTTGCCTGTACTTTTAACCAATAAAATGATCTTTTAAGCTCAAGTGCTGTTTACTATTAATTTAAGATTAGTTAAACTCAATACTGTTACTGCATATGTGTTTCACTGGTGTATAAGAAAGGAAAGAAAAGAAGAATATGATGAAATTAATGAATTAGAGAAGATTTGGCATGCTATTCTCATGTGTGTGTGTTTTCCTCTTCACTTCCTGTTCAGCGCTACTTGGCCTGATGGTGTCCGTCGCCTAGCAAAATCCTACTTGAAAAATCCCATGATTGTGTATGTTGGCACTCTTGACTTAGCAGTAAGTTGTCCCCTTCCTTTTGTAGAAGAACTTAAGTTTAAGCCAGGAGATTTTTTGCTTGTAATTAACTGTATGTAAGTAAATGCACGTATCTTTTGTAATCATCTGAGCTTTCAAGAAACAGCTCCGTGCTATTTATTTTAGTTTCCTTAAAAGTTCAGAAAAATTTAAAAAGTATAAACCAATATTTTTGCTGTAACAACATCTGGAAGTCTTAGCCCTTCAGTAGAAGACATAACAGGTGAACAAGTGTCAATCATATTGAATGTTCTACTTCACAATGCCACATGTTTTTGTGTGATCTGTTGGTTTTGCAACCTTAATTCTGGTTCAGCAAGTTCTTGTTCTTTATTTGGTTTTCCTTCTGAAGATCTTTCTAATGCATACAAATCCTTATCTAAATTTGTGTTTCCTAACTGTATCTTTCTCAAATGGAGTGGGAGCTTTGTACTAAACTCTTGGAGGACACTTGTCTATAGCAGCAAGTATGTGTTAGAGTAAGAACTGTCTTTAAAGTCCAAAACTTCTAACGTGTGGATGTAGTTGTTTATTTGTCATTGTTGTGCAGCTATGTGTATTTGGCTTCAATACCAGCAGAATTTACAGGAACAGTAGTTTGCCCAAGATCTTAGGAAAGTTTCCTTTTCAGTTCCTTTTTTTTTAGCAATAGGGAGTGAGGAAACCTAGTATCCAGTACACTTGTCAGTAGAAATAGAGATTTAGTGTGCTTTTTGTCTGTTCTGTTCAGAACTAAACTTTTATCAAAGGGCATTTCTTGTCAGGATTAGAATTTGAAAGACATCAACTGCTCTTGTAGCTCTATTCTCTAGGGCATTAATCTCTTTCTACAGGAGCTTCTCCCAGTTGACAAATCTGGTGGGGGGGAAGGGTTCCTGTGAAGAGACGATCTTTATCTACTTGATTGAATCTTCAACTCTTGCCACAAGACCATGATACCATGCCATGAGAATGTCTAGACTTGTTATCTTACTTATTAGTTATACCTTAGATATTCTGTGGTAACCTTCAGAGATAATGGAGTAAATTTTTTAATGAACTGTTATTGGAATAGTTAGAACTATCCATTTAGAACCAGTTAGAACTATCCATTTAGAACTATCAGTTAGAACCATCCATAGTTAGAACTATCTATTTCAAAGAGATTTACAGCATCTTTAAAAGCCTGTAATTTCAAGTAAGACTGCCATTGTTCCAACTTGCTCTGGAGTAACATGAAATATTTGCAAATTAAAGAACTTAAATGTGTTTTTCACTAATAATATATTTCTTTCACCTCACTTATCGCTACCCGTTAAATCTCTGCAAATAAATGGTTTGGCAAACTGCTTAAAGGTAAATTTTATTATTCTCCTAAAGCAACGAGGAAGAAGAAATATGCATTGTTCGAACTCCAAACTGATACATATTAAAATACAGGTTTTTATGGTATCATATATTACTACTTTTATAACACGGCAATATGGGAATTAACAGGAAAAAAAAAATATTATTGTAATCTGTTTCCACCTAACATCCCTTTTTGCTGTTTGACAGGCAGTAAGCACAGTACAACAAAAAGTTATTGTTATCCCCGAGGAAGAAAAGAGAGCTTTCATGCATAGCTTCATTAAGTCTATGAAGCCAAAAGATAAGGTCATCATTTTTGTGGGCAAAAAGCTTACGTATGTAATCACTTCCCAGTATCATCTCTGTTTGGGGTTTTTTTCCTAACAGAAATACTGAATAGTTTCTTAGTTCACATAAGAAGTATCAAGTGTAATAACTCTTCTCCACAATATGCTGCTATTAGTATTATTTTTATTTCTTTCTTTCTTCCTTTAGACTGACTAGCAGTTTGTATTCTTTTTAATATCATTAATGGTGGTGGTAAGTCTGTTTCGCATAGCTCAGATGGGATGTTTGGATTCTTGGGGATCCATCAATGTGATGTACTGTTTACTTTTATACACTTCTGGTGCATTCAAGACCTGATTAATGTGGGGGTGGTCATTGTATGATACTTGAACTTTTTGAGTCAACAACACAAAAATAATCTAGTATTCCTCTAAATTATAAATAAAGGTAGACATTTCTATGTGGATTAGACTTGCTTTCCTGTTTTATAATAAGTATCCTGTTTTATAATAAGTATCAGCTGACCTAGGTAATGTTTTGTCCTTAAGCACACATTTAGCTTTTGCTGTCACATTACTGTCCTTTTGATTTAAATCTAGATGCTGCACTATTTTGTTTCTTTTTTTCCTTCTGTTTTAAGAGCCATTGCTTTATTTCACCCTAGAGCTGATGACTTGGCAAGTGACTTTGGTATCCAAGGAATTCCAGTACAGTCACTTCATGGCAACAGGGAACAATGTGATCGAGAACAGGCTTTGGATGACTTCAAGAAAGGTGAGTTTGTACTGAAGTACTGGTTTGTGTAGGCCAGACTTCTAATGTTTTTTCTGTTCAAAACTTGTCTAAGTGTCATGTCTCTTTAGTACTATAGAAGTTAAAATATTAAAGAGCTCTGAATTTTATAGAAAATTTTCAAGAAAGCTTTAGTAGTTTGACAAAAAAAGACAAAAAAAGCAAACAAAGAGATTGCTCTTCAACAAAATTTTGAATGGCTGGGAGTTTAATAATTTAAAGTATGGCTTATTTTACTTTTGACATTGCTGGAAAAATTGGTATTGTATGTCTACAGAATGGTAATTTAAATGTCAGATGATGGTGTTTTCAGTGAAACAGTCCTGCTCCAGATTATGTTAGTAGGGTTGTGTGAACACAATTCAGGGTTACGTGAACACATGCTAATAAAAGACTCGTGCTGTGACAAGAGTGTCAGCTGAAAATATAGTTGTTGAAGTTCTTGTTCTTTGGCCAGACTCTTTATATCAACCAGGCATATTTCTTACTTTTCCTGCACTCTGCTGTTCTACTTGTGACATGCAAATAGTAGCAAAATTACATTTTGGGTGCTTACTTACCAGTTTGCTTTTGGTGCTAACCCAGTGTGACATTCAACAAGCATATTTTTACTTTGTGTTAAGAATATTAAGTGCATTATAAGCTAGAAAACCAATAGACTGGAGTATGTTTTCTGTTTGTTCCATAACCTCTGTTCTCTTCCTGTCATACTTACTGTAGGCAAAGTTCGGATATTGGTGGCTACTGACTTGGCATCCCGTGGCCTCGATGTGCACGACATCACTCACGTTTTCAACTTCGATTTCCCTCGCAACATTGAGGAATATGTTCACAGAGTAGGTCGTACTGGAAGAGCAGGGTAAGTGTTTAGCAGAAAATAGTCATGTGTTATCAGTGTTTTGTTGTGTTTTATGCACAACATAGGTGTTTTTCTTGTCAAATTCTAGAGGCTACAGGTGATGTGGGGTGGGGCAGTCAAGACTTCAGTCTATCAAAGTATGTTCTAGAAACACACTGCTTTATGTCTTTAAATGAATTCACTGTTAAATTGAAGGCAAGCAAGTTTTACGCTTTTCTGTTATTGAATCAAGAGTGTTTAAAAGCTGGTATAAATATGAGGAAGAATTAGAAAAACAATTTGCATTGATATTCTGGAATGTTACTTCCTTATTTATCTCTTCATGAGCTGCTGATTTATTTAGTTTCTAGACTGCACATTGCACAGAAGCTTCTGTAGGTTCAAAATCCACAGCCGATCACGGTGGTGTAGTTTAATGGTAGCTCTTTTGGATGCTGCTTTCCCAGGCTAGTACAAGTGTGATTTTTCTCATTTAATCATGATACTTTAATATGTTGCCATTAAGCTATGTTTATTATCTAAAATCTAAATTAGTTGTGCATTTGCTCCATTTTAGGTGAATTGCTGTATTGATTTTTATGAAAAGTCATGTGCAGGGTACATGCTCAAGCCACTTTTATTCTATCACCTCAGTAATATTGCCTGGTGGTGCAGTTCATTACTGCCTAGGTCAGTAGTAAAAGCCTGGCCAGAGTTGTTTGGAGGATCAGCAGTCATTTCCTTCCTTGTTTAGGCGCTCTGGGGAGGCAGTAACACTTGTCACGAGCAATGATTGGAGGTTTGCATCCGAGCTGATTGACATTCTGGAAAGAGCAAACCAAGTAAGCATACATTACTGGTAAGATTTATATTGGTTCTGGGTTAGCACCTGAAGCATGTCATGAAGGTCTGAGATGATTTAGACTCTTCTTGGTGAGTGTTTTTGGTGTCTCAGGGAAAGAAAATGGCTATTTTAGTCTGTCTTTTCCTAGATAGCATTAGTTGTATTTTACTTTACAGATGAGTCCCAGGAAGGAACTGTGAACTTTAACCAAAGCCTTCTATGTCTAAAGAAAAAGTAACAGACATACACATTGAGGTCTGCAGAGAAATAATAGGGTTTATTTTATTTCATAAAATTTTATTCCATTTGTATTTCACTTTTGGATGCATGTACCGTTTTCTTGTTTAACGGTCTAAATATTAACAATACTTGTATCAGAAGAAGCTCAACTGTCTTATCTGTTTATTCTATCTGACAGTTGTGATGCCTGCACATACTTTTCCAAGCTTTATTACTGATGCTTGTAAATAGTATGTGAAGTGGAACTGGAATGTGATCTCTTTCTTTAAAGAAGCATATTTTTTCTTGATACCATATCTGAGGAAACAGATAATTGTGTTACTGTTTTTTGCTGTAACAAAGAACGTTTTGCCTGTTTTATAGTAAATCCCCAGTTCGAGTCCTGACTTGAGCTGAAGTTTTGTTTGTTTGGGTTACCATGTTTGCTTGTTTGGTTTTTTGAGGGAGTTTGAATACATACTAAATGGATTTCATCTAGAATCTGTGGTTTTTACTATAGACATTTACTCAGACTTTAAACCCTGGGTTAGAACTCCACCTCAATCTTCTGTTTTATAGCTCTTCTTTGAAGGATACTATGTTGCTTTATTGCAAGCCTAGTAAGCTGCTTTTGAGGGGGGAAAGTAGACAAAAAAGGTGTAGAAGAGTAGTCACCTAATAATTCCTTAAAGTTGCAGATTTGAAGTTTTTTGTTGGGGTGGGGGTTTTTTGCTTTGTTTTTATTCAGAAAATGCAAGAGGTGAAACCAGTAATGATGCTGTGAAGCTACTTTAGAGGTGCCTTGAGTTTTTTATTCTGAGTTAACAATTACCTTTCAAGTCTTGTCTCCAGCTGCAGGCTGCAAAGTTCCCAAACTGGTTGTGGTTTTTGTAAAGTCTGATAGTTCAACTGGGAACAAGTCTGAGTTCAGAGGAGAAAAGAGGAACTCTGAATCCTTGCTTTCAGAAGTTACTGTTAGTCATAACATTATTCTCAAACTTAGTTATGTCTGATAGAAAGGAAGTATCCCTACAGACAAAGTGTTGGGGTTTTTTCTCATGACAAATGAAAATACCATTGTTTCAGTCTTAAAGCATTATGTAAAAGTAAGAGAGAACGGAAGGCTCAGAATACTTTGATTTTCAAAACAAGTTAGTTGCTTTTGTTAGCAAAATGTTCTCTGTGATTTTGAATCTACAGATATATAAAGAAAAACAAGTACAACAAAAAGGTGTCTATTTCATGCTGAAGGAATCTTTTATATATAAATGCTTATTAACAAGCATGGACAGATTTAATGGAAAAACAGTAATCTCTGTGATACCAAGAAAAGCATTCCATGTAAATCATGGCATCTTTATCCTTTTCTCACTTGAATGAGCCTCACCTAGCTTATATGTTTAGCAGATAGACAGATTTTTCATAAAAAAAATTCAACAAGCCACTAGATGCTGGATATTACCTCACTGAGATTTTTGTTTCAATATCCTCACTTCTTCCTGCTCTTGACTTGTGCTTGCTCAAAAACTTTCAAGAAATTGTTGCAATTTTAGTTTGGAATAAATTATGCTTCAGGCTCTAGGGGAGGATTTGATACTGAGGAAGAAAATCATCCCATGTTTCAACCGAAAAATAACTTTGTCTCATTACTTCTATCTCCATTGATAAGCCTGTTGTGCCTTTCAGCTAGAGATACATTAACTTTATTTTTAAATAATGTTTGAAACTTAGGCAGAATGGGCTCTTCCAGAGTTGTCATATTTTGCCAGGATAGTTGTTTACCAGTAAGAGCAATTCAGCACATAAAACATATACTAGTGAGCTGTCCCTCATGCCAGCTCAAGAAAAAGTTGCTGATAGCAAATAGCAAGCATTGCTCAATTATAAAGCCTGACAAAAGAAATGGAAACTAGAGGAATATGACTTCCTGCTCCACCAGACCTTTTGTCCTGGCTGCATTCTCCACCTGTTCAAGCATTGCCAAGCCCAGGCACGTTTAGGGAGACTTTAAGATATTTACATTTGTTTGTACTCTGCTGTTTGCACTGTTTGCACTGTCTGCCACTGGCAGACACAAATGACACAGAGCAATCATATTAATAGCACATTCACAGAGTGCCCTTTGCTCTGATCAGGAAACTGATTCTGGAGGGGTGACTTCCACTGACAGCCACGTGCCATCGCAGATTGCTGAAGTGGGCTGGCTTTGACAGATCAGTGATCTAAGACCTCTTGACAGTACAGTTGCACACTCTGCTTTTGGCAGTAAACATTGCAATAATGTCAGCATTTTGCCCAGCCTGTTTAAGAAGTCTTGTTGGATACTGCCTTTGTTCTGTGAGCAAAGGAATGGTATCTGGATTTTTTTTTTTCCATCACTGTCACTCAACTAATAAATTTGTCTGTAATTCTTCACATCTGGCCTCAGTTGTTAAGAACTCTGAGGTGAGAGTGTTTTGATGATACTGTTCACCTTTTCCACATAATTACAAACATGCCAGAAATTCCTGTGGATCTTGGTAAGGTGCTCTTACAACCTCCCAGTGGTGGGAGATCTGACCATTTTCTCCTGCCCCTCTTTCCTTGTCTTTTTGCTTTGTTCTAAGCATGTGAGAACCATTCCTATGACAACACTTTCTTTAAGTCACAAAGTTTCTCTTCAGAGGCTCTTAAAACTTCCATAAGGAATTTAATATAAATCAACATTCAGTAGATGTATATAGTATGATATCACCTTTAAGTGGCACTGGATGATTTTACCAGCTGTTCCTTATAACTAAAAGATACATTTCTGTTTGAACTATAATGTTGTAATTAGCTGCTTATATGTTGCCATCAGGTATGGTGATACAAGCATAGATATATTATTGAAAATCCAGAGACACTATGATGATTATTTTTCAGTGTATTTCAGTACAATCATATGTAAAAAGATTTCTCTCTGCATTTTCACAGAAAATAATCTGCAAAGTGACAGGAGCCAGATAAATAATGAAATCAAGTTTGGGAGCACACAAATCAATAGCATTTTCATAAAGCAGTCTGAAAGTTTGGATTTATTTAAAATTCACCTTGGTTTTTTGCCTGCTTTCTTAATAGGTAGTTCCTGATGAGCTTATTGCAATGGCAGAAAGATACAAACAATCACAAATGAGAAAAGAAAATGAAAAGGATATTCAAAGACCTTGGAGAAAGCCCTCAAAATAAGTGTAGTCCCTTGAAGCTACTGAAACAGAGAAAGTGATTTTAATTAGTGTTAGCTTCCATGAGCTTGAATTTATTAGTTTCATTTTGTGTTTGATTGTTTTCTGTACCTGTCCTATTTAAACAAACTTCTCAAAAGTGTCTTAGAAAACTGGAGTAACTTTATATAGGAATAAATCTGGTTTTGCACTTGGACATTATTTTCACATAATTTTTTCTTTTGTGATGTATGAAACTTCTAAAGCCATTATCTACTGGTTAAAAACAAATATTGTGGCTTTGTTGGTTGGTTTGGGGTTTTTTTAGTTATATGCAGTATTGCTATATAAGAATGTAAAAGATAATTTTTCCTTTTATATTCAGAGAACCAGATTATTCATTGTAAACAATGTTTGTCAATGTAGTTTCAAAATGCTGTACCTTTGCCTTGATATGTTGCTGGAATGCAGGAAGATTTCTCAGGATAATGAAAACTGCTCTGTTTGCTGTTCCTTTTGTTTGCTAAAGCGAGTTTTCTTTATTCTTGTTTTAAAACTTAACATTGGTAGTAATTTTTGCTAAGACTTGTGTCTCAAGATTTTTTGAGAGAGATCTGCATTTTCTTATAATGGAGGAGAGCATGACAGGAAGTACTTGTTTGTGGCTAACTGGGGAAGAAAACCCATTTTTGGTTTTTGTGGATGTACTATTCTGCTTAAGAAATGAAACCAGAATTTACTAGAGCAATGTTAACAAAGTCATGGAAAAAAGAATACATTTGAAGGTCAGCTTTTATTTCTTCCAGATAAAATTGATTCACAATTTACATTTGGATGTCAGGTTCTGTCACACAGATTCCCTGTGATAATGGGGCATGTTTTCTACTCTTTGAAATTTATATGGGAAGGAGTTATTCCTTCATTTGATGCTTGGTCTGAACTTGTGTTTATTTATGTGTCGTATGATTAAATAAAAACTAATAAACAAAATTCAGTAAAATGAGAATATTTTAGTAAAATTACTCTGTAAATATTCTTTCCTCTTAATTTGCTCATAATTGAGGTAAATCTGGGCATTATTCAATCCAGTAGGTTATTTTGCCTTCAAAAAGTAGGTGAAAAATATGGACTTCCCATGACTTCTATAAGTAGAAGCAAAAGATGTATTTATTTGCAGCACAGCAGTTCTCAAATGCTGTGTACTTCTCACCTGCATGATTTTAGTAATAGGAATTATTATAATTTTTTTTTTCCTAACACACATTTCTTCAATATAAGAAAAAGTGATATGAATTTCAATTTCAGGAGTGTCCAGTTCATGCTGCATTTTGGTTTTGGAAACCTTTTATATCAAGAGTCTTCCTCTTTGATACAGGTTGAAAGATGCATTTCTTTCTACATGATTCATCATATAAATAAATGTTCTTTGGCAGAAAACCATCTACTCTGTTGCAGCATATTAGGTAATGATTGTTTCCCATCCAAAGCCCAATGAAAAGACTGATTTCTAAAGTAATTCTGAAGACTCAGAAAGGATAAGTTACTTTAGGAACTTCATATTACTCAGGTAAAATATTCTCTCTCTGGTAGCTATTGCTGGTGATTGTCTTCTGCAAAAGATTTTCATATCCACCCAGGTAATCGAGAAGTTGTTCTGGTTAATGTCAAAGTAACTCCAGGGACTTTTTTTTCTTTTGAAAGTAGGAGTGTAGTTTGGATATTCTGCAGTGGATCTTAGTTTTAAATAAAATTGTCAGTTTTTCCTTTATGCAGTCTTTCCTTTATGCCTTTGTATTTGGAAACACAGAAATTACATGTGGGAAATGAACTATTGCAAATTCTTCTCTATGTTCTTCATATACCTTGAAGATATTTTGCAGGTGACATCTACATTTGGATAGGCAAGGTAAATATTACTTAAAACATTTCTTTTAAGGGTTATGGCTAAGCAGTGTGACTGAAGTATAGATTTTTCTCTTAGAGGTCTTCATTTTATTTTGTTTTGGGTTTTGTAGTACAGACTACTGAAGAGTCATTTATATTGCAGAGTTTTTTGTTTCAAATATGTAAAGTCAAAATGATTAGATATCTGTTGTGAACAGTGTTCTTAATAACTCTCATGAAATACTGGGAATCCATTGTTCAATTCATAGCTTATTTTTCTTGAAAGGAAATGATGTTTTGCCTTATCTTCTTGGCTGAGCAGGTTGTATTGGGGAATAAAAAAGTGAGTCAGCTGAGACTTTTGCAGGCAATCCACAAAAAATTCCAGACATTGCTGAAAGGAATGATCCAAGTTTCCCAAGTGCCAGTCTGTGTCATTTGGCCACATGACACAGGAGTGGAGAAAAGCAGTTTTGACATGATAGGAACAGAATTTTTCCAATTCTTTTGGATGTTTCCTTTTAAGTTGCTCTAGAAGAAACTTCAGCAGCTTAAGACAACCTTTCCTGTTAAAAAAAAATATACATATATATTAGGTATCTTCTCCATAGTTCTAAATATGTAGATCAGATATTTAAACACAATTATGCATTAATACTCTTGTTGCTTTCTTGATTCAGTACAAGATGTATTGGCAAACCAGCTTCTTAGTTTACTTGTTAAGGACTCGTGGGTTTTGTTCTTCCTTGTTGAAGAAATCTGGAAGACAGTTCTCATGGAAGTGAAAAATCATTTATTCATCTTGATCTCGTTCAGCAGTTTTCTCACCATAATTTTAGAAATTGCCTTGATATGAAGGGAAATTTTGCTCAGAAAGTGGAGTTAGTCACTTTTTAAAGCTTTTTTTTTAACAGGACTGAATCTGGGAAAGATAATTGAACAAGTCGCATATTTTTGCATTCTAAGGCAAGTCTGAAGTCTAAAGCACCACTGTGATTGTTTCCACCTTTCATTAGGTAAATGCAAGCCAGACATTCAGCAAGAACATGCAGTGTTGTATTGCTGTAGAACAACTATGCCTTAAAGACTCTTGCTTCCTATTATGAGTAATTACTGTTAGATCATATTCTTAAGTGCTAAACTGAAACAGTGTTAGTGCTAGCCCAGCTCACACAGGCTTAAAGTAAAATACCAACCTACAGCACTTTGGTCCATTGGATTCACAGCATGTCTTTGAGTTGCCGTGGTTCTTTATCATATCCTTTTCAATATGTGAGAAGGAGAGTCGCCAGGTGTTCCCTGAAGTCAAGCACAAGACTGTTAAATAGTTGCACAGCACTAAGCATCAGCTTTCGTAGCTAGAAAAAAAAAACAGTTTTGTAATTGACTTAAATACCCACAATTTTTTTGCACCCACTAAAAAAAACCCCATAATTCAGTGAGTGCAGTTAGTTCCTCCTTAACTCTCCAGCTGCTTCACAAACACAATTGGAATGTAATTAATATAGGACATAATAGTTTGGATGCTTTAAATTCCTAAGGATGTTTGAATTAACTTTAAAATTAGGCTTAGTTCTGAATGTCCCTGGATTTGCTGAACATGATTTAGAGAACTGCATTATTCATAGAAATCTACAGCCTTTTAATTTCTGTTATTGTGTTTTCTTAGTGCACGTAATAGGTTTGTGAGCTTGTCTCATGCTCTAAAGCATTTCTTTTTGTTCTTCTGCTCATGCTTCTGAAAATAATTGCTAATATAGCACAATGCCCTGTTTCTAATACCAACAATCACTTTTGTCTTTTTCATGAATTACAGTTTGCCTTGCCTGTTTGGCTCAGTTACTCTTTGCATTTAATTTGCACAGGAAGAAATTGCCAAATAAATCAGTACTTCTGTACTGGGCTTTGATAACATGGGCATGCTAATTAAAATGGTACCAGAATGCTTAAAATCTTATGCTGAAAGGATCAGTTACCATAATGCACAAGTCAGAATCTGCAAGCTAAAGGAGGCTCAATGTGACAGCGGTCTGGAAGAAAAAATGTTGTAGCCATACCAGAGTTCAGTGAGAAATAATGTATCTTGATAGAAAACAGTTTGCTTCCTGCAGAAGTATCTGATTTGTGGATGCAATCTCATGTATGGGGAAGTTCCCTGCGTTTTTAGCAACTTTCTTCTAATTTCCTTACAAGAGAGTGCAAGCTGCTGTTAAGCACACTACTAGCACAAGGGAAGGCTCATATCCATGTGTCTGGCTGGAGTGGATTTAATATAATGCTCTTAGTAATGGTTAGTGTGCAGCCTGGCAGAGTGGGCTTGTATTTACATTTCAGTAGAGGACAAGCAGTACCACAAATCTGCTGCTTTAAAGAGGGATTTCAGTTGTCTGAGCTGGATATATCCAGGATGAGGTGTCTCGAAGATGGAACACTGAACATGATCTGGATACCCTTTCTATAGCACTTGTAAGTGATCAAGTTGTAGAGAAGACATTTCATAACTTATTATTGTCCATATTTGAGGTACCTCTTAGAACTTTTTCTCTTTTGTTTTGCTTGGCTACTAAATAAATTGATCTAAATCTGAAATCCCTCCTCTTTTTTGTTCCCAGCCACGGTTCAATTTTGAGGCCAGTCTGTGTGCTGGGGGGCCAGCTCTGCTGAGCCTCCAAAGTCAAGATGATGTCCACTGATATTTCTAATGGAGGTTTTTTGATCTGAAGAGTTATTGCAGGGCTTCCAGCCTTTTTCCTTGCCACAGTGACTTGCATACCTAGTAACAAAGAAAGTGATATTTCATGTTAGATGGACAGATAGCTAGATAGATAGATAGATTAGTAAGATGAAAACTTTTTTTTAAGAATGTTCCAGTTTTTACTAAAGAGCTCATAAGCAATCAAAAGAAATACCTGTGTTCAGTCAATGGTTCTTTATCCTACAGGATGTTGAAAGATTGGGACGATCTATTGAAGAGTTCTATGAAACAGGGAACACTACTGTGTTTGCTTGATTTACTGTCTGAGAATTAAAAATATAATATTGTTTTTCATGTAACTGCTTCCCTGTTGAAAACACACAGTCTGGCCACAATATTTCTGAAGGTTTTGGGAAAAAGTAACCCTAACTGGGGTTATTTTAATATAATTATATATAGATATATATATTTTTTTTTAATCATTATAAAAATAACTGGGATGCAGCTTCTGTACTGATCAATAAAAAATATTAGGTACTGTATAAAAGAAAATACAGGTGCTGTATAAAAGAAAGCTCCTTGTTTTGCTACTACTTCAGCAAATGGCTCTTTGTATACTCCAGATAGATGCAAGATGTATAGGTTAGGTAGGAAATAGCAAGCATGCATCCCTTAATGTTTATTATTTTCATACAGAAAATATGCATAGTGGAGTTAATAATGTAACAAGTTACCTATGTGTATTTCTGATCATTAACACAAGAGCCAGCTTGAGATACTGGGGACAGGAGGGGTTGCAGCTCCATTGGCACAAAGAGACTGGCAGGAAAATGTGTATTCTTAATACTGGGGCAACACATATGCACAATGTAACTGTGTTTTTACCACTTCCTGATGAAGCTTGTTCTCTCAGTACTCACCTTTAATGTTTTTTACTTCCTGTTTAATAATTTCTCTTAGTGCTTGAAGCATTTTAAAGGCTGATAATTTTCCATCTTCCTCTAAGAACTTCAACCAACCCTTTTCTTTTGGACTCCTTTTGAATGATACATAATAATAGGCTCCAGTATCATCAGACTCATCCAGCTGAATCCTTGTAACAGGCATTACAAGCATGATGTCAAACTCATTTGGTTCAGATATCTGCAAATATAAGAATAGAACAGACAATGTGCAACTTAGGTTCTATTCTCCTGAGATTTTTCTACCAGTTGTGGTTTCATTTACCTTGGTGTCTGATGTGAAATATGAGCTTATTTCTGTGGTATTGCAAGATTACTGTGCATTGGGGTGGAAAATAGCAATTTGCAGCTCACTTCCCAGCTCTCCAACTTATTAATTTTTAAGATAGTTTTAAGATTCTTGAGCTGTTCTGAATAATTAATGTATAAATATGCTTAGACATCCTCTTGCACTTAGGATGTGAAGAAAAAAATGCACTGCTAGGTCTGAAGCTAGTTTTAAACAGAAAAAAAAAAAGTGTCCCCATGTTTGACTTAGTTTCAGTCTACGGGAACAAAGAAGAAAGGTACTGGTTAATCACAGAAGGTGAAGGGGTTGGAATGGACCTTAGAGATAAAGCTAGTCCTGACTCATCCTGCCCTAGGCAGGGATACCTTCCTCTAGACCAGGTTCCTCAAGACCTTATCCAACCTGGCCTTAACACCGCCAGGTTTGGAGCATCCACAATCTCCTCAGACACTCTATACCACTGTCCACCACCCTCACAGTAAAAAAATTCTTTCTAATCTAAATTTTTCTTCAATTTGCATCCATACATAACTCCTGCTTTTTGAAAAAACTATGAACTAAAACCTGGCCCAGGGCTTCTCGTGCAGTGCTATACTGTCGGCTTGTGTTGTTACACCGAGCTCACCTGCGTGCTGTGCGAGGGCAGGGCTTGCTGCAGCCTGAACCGTTCAGGTAGCGTCTCTGACTCACTGCACGTAGCACCATTCAGCAGGTTACTGAACATTTTGTAATGCATTGTGATTACTTCACAGAGCTATCCTTAGAGATGTAGTTACATCCACAGAGCCATGACTGGGCGGGAGAGGCCAGCTCCGAGCGGCCCTCGCGCGGCTGGCCCATGTTCCCGCCCGCCACTTGCCGCCGCCGCCGCCCGGCGGGCGAGCGCTGCCTCCGCCCGGCACCCACCTTGACGCGCTCGTAGTAGCTGCCGGCGCTCTGCCGCTCGATGGAGCTGAAGCAGCTCTCCTTGTCGCGGATAGCCTGGACCAGGTGCGGAACCACCGTATTCACCAGTGTCGAAGCCTCGGACACGTCTTCGCGGAGCAGGCTGAGCCGCGACAGCACCTCCCGGAGCCGCAAGGCGTCTGCCGCCGGCGGGGGGCGACGGCCGGCGGCAGCGACCGCCCCGTCGGGCACCGCAGCGACGCTCCCCGGGGCCGCGGGGACTCTGGCGGCCGGTGCCCTGCTCCGTGAGGAGGGGGGCGCCTCTGCGCCGCCCGCCGCCCCGCCCGCTGGCAGCTCCCGGGCAGCGGGGGCACGCCGCGCCGAGCGGCCGCCCCGGGCAGGGGCTCCGTCCGTCCGCGGTGTTCGGAGCGTGGCGATGGCGCTCGAGCCTTCACCCGCGACGCGGCCCCGCGAGGGGCTTCGGGCTGCACCCTTCTCCGTGCCCCGGCTCCGCGGAACTGTGGAACGCCTCCCCTGCCTGGCCCGCGCCCCTCTGCCACCCGCGGCGTCCATGGCCGCTGCTCCCTCTCCGCACCAGCAACACGGCGAGCGCGGCCCCGCGAACAACGGCGTTCCCGCCTCTGGCTTCGGGTGAGTTCCTCTTCCAAGAAGCGCGCCTCCCCTAGGAAACGAAACCCGGCGAGCGGGGCGGAGGCAAGACGTTGCCCGGCGCGCCAACTTCAGCCCGGGCACAGGATGGCTCCGGCAGCAACAATGAAGCTACTGTCTCCCTCCAATCCGACGGGAGCGTTTTCCCGCTCCTGGGCGGCTCCGCCCGCCTGCCCGCGGGGCGAGGACACGTGAGCACCGGTACCGCCCGGCTTTTCCAGCCGCACGGGGAGCCGGGACGGGCGGCCGCGGGGAGGCGCCCGGGCCGCCGGCCCCGCCGCTCCCGCAGGCCCCGCCTCTCGCTCCGGGCCGGAGGAGCCGCGGCGGCGCTCCCGGGCCAGCCGCCATGTTCCTGCGGAGCGGCTGCCGCCGCCTGCCGCTGCCCCTGGCGCCTCGCCCCGGGCACCGCCGGGCGGGCAGCGAGGTCGGGGCGGCGGCAGCGCCGCGCTACGAGGTGGTGGTGATCGGCGGGGGCCATGCGGGCACGGAGGCGGCGGCGGCGGCCGCTCGCGGTGGGGCCTGCACGCTGCTGCTCACGCACAGGATCGGCACCATCGGTACCGCCGCGGGTGCCCAGGGAGAGCGGGGGAAGCTGCCGCGGGCGCCTCGGGTCTCCCGGCGTGGGGAACGGCGCTGAGCCGGGGAGGTCGCGGGGGCCTTTGCGCGGTGCTGAGGGTGTCCCTGTGTCATTACCCAGGGGAAATGTCCTGCAACCCGTCCTTCGGCGGCATCGGGAAGGGGCACCTCATGCGGGAGGTGGACGCCCTGGACGGGCTGTGCGGCCGCGTGTGCGACCGCTCCGGCGTTCACTACAAGGTGCTGAACCGCTGCAAGGGCCCGGCCGTGTGGGGCCTCCGCGCGCAGATCGACCGCGGCCTCTACAAGGAGAACATGCAGGTGAGGGGGCCGCGCCGGGCGGGCTCCTGGGTGCTGGGAGGCGGGATACAGCACTGAGGATTACGAAGAAAAGGGATATGTTTTGTTTATCATTATTTACCGATCAAACCTAGATACTTTTCTGTTTGGATGCAGTGTAAGTTGTTGGAGCTCAGCGCAGTTTGAAAAATTCTGTAGTGGTTTAGATACAGGTCAGGCTTCATGACCAATTAGTTTATTTAAGCTTAAACTTTATGTGAGTGAAAACTTCTACCTAATAAATCAGGATAGTACCATAACTGAGTGTCTCCCAAATGACCTGGTAAGAATGGAAGTGGGTAATAGATGTTTCAGAAATCAGCAGGGTTTGGGATTGCCCATATTGTCTCATAACATCCTAGATTTTTGCAGTAACTCCTTTCATGACAGAAAGAAATCCTAAACACACCACTGTTGACAGTTCGTGAGGCGTCTGTGGAGGATCTTCTCTTGACTGAGCCAGAACCAGGCCGTCCCGGGAAATGCCAAGTCACAGGAGTTGTTCTGGGTATGTGCTAGTAACTCACTAAGTGCCTTCAGTTACTCCACACTAAGAACAAGCCTTTGGGGGTAAATATCTCGGATTCACCGATGAGAAAGATGAATTTATCCTATTCTAATTCATTAGTGAGAAAGATTAATTAGCCAACAGAGCTGGTTTAGGTAAAGTGAAATAAACCAGGTTAATATGTGTAATACAAAGTAATACGATGTCATAAATGCCTGGATTGGTAATATATTGGGACATTAACTAAGTTAATTTTCTCTAGGCTAGTGATGCTGAATTCCATGCTGTGTTTTGAGGTTTTATTTGGTAAATGGTGTATGCTGCCCTCAGTGTTACAGGACCGTGGGGTCCTCTTAGTAACAGACTTGTACTTCATTACCTCTTGCTGTTATAATAAACAAGCTTTCTAAAGTAAAGGCCTGGATATGGATTTTTCTCAGGACTGGTTTTATTTTTTAGGAATAACTTGCTTAGGAATAATAAATATACAGAAATAACTACATGCTGCTTATTGTAGTTATTACTGTTGATGCTTTTATTATGGAGAAGCTGGTATTATTTTATGATAGAAGACAGATAAACCCCCAGTGAGCACTGGTAGTCTCCAGTTCTCTCTTTAGACAGAAGCACCAGGATTCCAGGGCTTTGTTGCTACTAAACTGTGCACATCTCTGAAAACCTTCTGTTCCAGGGGATGGGAGCGCAGTACATGCCGGGAGTGTTATCCTGACCACCGGTACATTCCTGAGGGGTGTGATCCACATCGGCCTGGAGACGCACCCGGCGGGGCGGCTGGGGGACCAGCCAGCCATCGGGCTGGCTCACACTCTGGAGAGACTGGGCTTTGCTGTGGGCAGGCTGAAGACTGGGACACCGCCCCGACTTGCCAAGGATACGATTGACTTCTCTGGTCTGGAGGAGCGTGCAGCTGACAACCCTCCAGTGCCCTTCAGCTTCCTCAGCGAGGCCGTGTGGATCAAGGTGGGATAGCACATCCCACCCATCAGGTGCACATGGAGCTGGGTGGAAGTGGTTCTGGGAGTGTTGTGCTCATCATCAGCCAGGGAGTCAGGGCTGGGAAAGGCAGCTGGGATGTACTTGTACTGGAGGTGTTACGTTTTTGAGGACTCTCAATGCGAGGCGGAAGTTACTTGTGTTCTTTTGAAAGCAAATACCTTTTCACTCTCACTTCTCAACTTGAGAACTGAACTTTCTTTATCTGTGGAGTCAAGAGTTTTGTGAAATGTGATACTGCTGCTAGTATTCTTCATGTGCTGGTTACATGGTTGGTTTTACAAAATCTTCCAGTATTATTGACTGTGTTGTAGAGATTTACAGTGTCTGGCTTCTTATCTTAGCTCTGGAATAAGGTTAAAATGTTGCAATTAGAGATCATTTGTAGTATTGACTAAAAAAGGATGGATTTATCCACAGAGCTGAGCGGTGGCAGGTTAACAGTAACTTAAAAGCAGAAGAGGTTCAATTTTCTGAAGAAAATCTTGGAACATTGGCTGGTTTTGTATAATGTAATTAAACAGCACAGAGTTGAGTATCAGGAGTTAATTTGCCCTGGAAGTTATAGGAATTGCAATAACCTTTTACAATCAGGATGGGGCAAAAGTAGTATCAGTTGAAGGCCTTGGTATATGTAGGAGAGGTTTTCAAACAAAGTGTTTTAAATCTAACAGCAAAAAGTTGTTAGACAAACATTCCTATTGACAATTTTGAGTCAAAATTGAGAGCATATCAGGAATTTATTCTCCATAAACACGTTGAAAGAAACAACAGTTTTCAGACGTTTATATATGCTATAACATGCAGGATTTTTTATAGATGCTCCCAGAAGTCTGGCCAATTTATTGCATCATGGTGTACGTGTTCTGTTTCTTTTATTACTACCAGAGCATCTCATCTGTCTTTGTTTAATGGATAACCCAGGTTTTATCCAGCTAAACAGTACTTTATTAAATTTGCTGTCCTGTTTAGACAATTACTATTGATTAAGTTTCTGGAGTGTACAGGCCTATGAAGTGGTTCCCTTACCACACCTGCAATATATTAACTTTTTCAGGACAGCTTTCTTGTCTATGGCATCTAATTAATCTCAAGTTTTATGACAACCATTGACCAATTCTTTATTAAATTTTGATCTTCAACGGTTGATTAAGTTCTCTGAGGGTTATGGGTCCATGGAGTTCCTGTCTGCAAGTGCAGCGAGATGATTTCTCAGGGTTTTGTACTGACGCTTAGCCAACACAGATCTAAATCAAAACCGCATAAAATCACAAGACTTTTGTTCTAACTAATATATAATTCAGTGGCAGTTTTAAAGAGTTATGGTGCTACATTGTCACAGTTTTGAATGTGAGTCTGTTGACTCTTTTTTAGAAATATCAGTGAAATACTTTACTTCATATGGTGAGGTTTTTTCCAAACTTTAAATTTTTCATGTTGATTTCAGAGTTTTGAGGTTTTTTCCTCTTTGAGAGAATTTTTTTCTCTTCATCAGTTTTTTTTCTTCACCCATTAATTGGCTGTTAGCTGTAGGGTCAACACTTATTCTTCTAACTCCAGAAGTCTTTTTTCCCTGTGATCAGTTTGAATGCTGTGATGTAACATGTTGATTTAATGGGAATATCCATCCCGTAGTTAGGAATACAGCATATAGGATAGAACTTAAATTCCAGACTCCCAGATTCCATTCTGTTCTTGGTCTGGTCTTGGGCTTGTTGCTCAGGCTCTCAGATTGCTCGTGTTCAGTCTGTACAGTGGGTATGACAGCCCTGATGACCCCTCCCAGAAGAGAGAGCCAGCCATCATGGGAAAGGTCTTGGAGATACCAGAGTTACTTAGTAAGGATACGGTGTCGTGACCAGATTAACTTAGGCTGAGCTTTGGCTTGTTCCAGCCAGAAGATCAGCTGTCCTGTTACCTGACTCGCACGAACCTGAAGGCCCAGCAAATTATCCGCGATAACCTGCACCTGAACAACCACGTCAGGGAGACAACCAGGGGCCCACGGTGAGTGTGCGGCATCATGCAAGGCTGTCGAGGGGACAGGCTGGAAGTCTGTCTGGAGCTGTGGGTCTCTCCGGCTTTGCTTCTGGAAAGTAACTTTTTCTCCATGTCAGGTGCTGCTCATGGCTGTTTACTGTTACAGGTACTGTCCCTCTCTTGAATCAAAGGTTCTGCGCTTCCCAGACCGAGAACATCAGGTGTGGCTGGAGCCAGAAGGCTTGGATTCCAATGTCATTTACCCCCAGGGCATGTCCATGACACTGCCACCTGAGCTACAGGAGCAGGTGATCAAATCCGTCCCAGGCTTGGAAAAAGCCAAGATGTTACAGCCAGGTGAGGGCTGAATAGTTTTGAATCTATTAGTCATATTTATTTACTAGTTGATGAAAAGCAGGTTTTGTTTAGAGCATAGCAAAACAAAGGAAACATGAAGCAAAACTAATTCCTGAATGCAGTGATTTTT